CATCCGCCAGCTCATTTCAGCTGAAGACCAATTTAACCTTAGCCAATGTGCTGGTGAATCTTTTTTCTTTTTCAGATCAAGGAATGATTACAGATCCAACTACAGCACAAAACCCTCTGTTATTGGTGTAGTGCAGTATGTGGTCAGTGTGGTGCAGTATTTGGGGACAACAGACCACGAGTGAGAAGTGAAGCTTCTCACACTACACAACAGTATTCCTTGAGGTAAATTTTAACGTTTTGTGTGAATGTGTGGGTGGGTGTAGCCTGCTATGGTGTCGTTTAATGTTTTGTAAGGGGGGTGTGGCTTGTTGTGGGGTCATATAACGTTTTGAGAGAGGGTGGGGTGTTTATGCTGGTTGGGGGGGCTGGGGTGGTGTATGGGAGAGGGTTGCGTGTTCCCATACGAAGGAATTGTACACGATGTGGGCAGGTGGTTGTGGTGAAGTTTGTCGTTCAAACCAAGTGTCACCAAGCTGTCGAAGGGGCATGAGGAAGGGGAGGTCGAGTAAGTAAGCTGTAGTAAACCTTGTGTATAGTGCATGAAGCAGTGTAGAGATGTGTAGTACAGTATAGTGTAGAAACAGGTAGGTATCTCTGTATAATTAAAAGGCGAGATATGATGCAGTTACCTGATAATGGAGGATTAAGACACTTTAATGGCTTAGAGAAAAATATAAAAGACAATCTAATTGGCAAACTATATATATTAGAAATTTATGCTTCTTTTCTGAGGAAGAAATTTGCCAATCGTTTGTACAGTGCATTATTGTCTTCTTCATTCAGTTAATGACTACGTAGATGGGTATGGTGTTAAGGTAAAGAAGGGTGATGGTAAAATGTTGGGAAGAAACAAAGGGAAGATGTTTGTGTTAAAAAGAGTCTTTCTAGATTTTGGATTGTGTGCCGAGGAGGAATATAGAACTGTATAAGGATGGGTTATTTAGGAATGTTTTAGTGTTTAGGATGGGTACAATGACTGCATTCCCCTATTTTGTTGGTGTTTGGTTCAATCATTGAAGATATTAGTGCTGTACTGTACAGGTATTTAAGGCCGATGGTCCCAGATGTTAGGTGGGTCCTTCACAACATGAACTATTGTTCTCAGACTTGGGCATTCCACAGTCCTGATTTAGAAAGTGTCATAGGCCCCATGGATCTCTTCGCACTATCCATACCTCAGTAGGGCTTTCAGGTGCCTCATAAAACTTACTATTTTTGTCATTGGTCAACTCATAGCACTGCCCCAGGGGTAAAGTTCTCCCGCAGGTCTCATGACATATGTTTACCCAAGTGTCTACCCCATGATGACCGAATTGCTTCTGGGCATCCAGCAGAAACACTGAAACCAGAGAATATGGCCCATTTATCTGAGAGGGAACTGTTGGCCATCTTATATATGTGGTACATACACGGCTATTCTTATATTGTACAGTACAGTACTTGTAAATACTGTATACGGTAGTGGTAGCCAGGTTCTCACTTCGTTGTCGTCTAAGGATTAACATGTAAAGCCCACATTCGAAGATTTGAAAAACAGATCTATGAAACTTTTTATTTTGTTGTAGGTATATATGGCTGCCATAATTTCAAGTCAACTGGTGTTGGTTACATACCTGGAAAACCTGAACTTATGCAGGAAATTATAAGTGTTTCAGAATGATGATCAAAACAAATAGATTACAATATAAAGAACAGTGTGTGTTTTAATCACCTTTGATGATGATGTGATGTAATGTTATTTCACAGATGTTTTAAGGACTTCTCAACAGGACCTCTTCTCTTCCAACTCCATGGTGACGACTACAGCACTGGAGCCACTGACAACTCTAGCACTAACTCTTTGACGTCCCACAGCTATAGTGCTGCCCTGTTGACATAATATGACTTCCTCATCCCTCCTCCCAATACACCAAGGATTCCAGCACTGCCTTATTGAGTGTCTCATGACTCAAACAGTCCCATCAATGTCCCACAGTTCTGGGCTGCCCTGCAGATGTTCCAACTCCAGTGCTACCTTTCTGATGTGCTACTACTGGTGTAACACTACTTCAGTAACTCCAATTAAATTCTGATTGTATATACAGTACATGCATTATAACATAATTCATTATTACAATGTTATGTTTAGTTTTCGTCCTATTATTCTTGCTCAATCTTACAAGAGAGAGAGAGAGAGAGAGAGACTGGGTTATTCGTCGGTACTATAAATCCCTATAGGAGTATCCAGCTACATAAGCTCTGCTTAACACAAACCATCACTTGATTACAACTGATCCTGCCAGAACAGACCAAAGTTTGGTTATGGTTAATCTGCTAAAATTAGCATTAGTGATAGTTTAAAAACTGTTTGTTGTCATTCACCAGAACATATGGAACTAGTGGCCAACTTGCAGTTCACAAGTAGTTTCCTCTGAATTTCAAGCTTTCATAGTAATGGTACTATCTGACAAAATGTGACAATATTTTTGTTCTTTATGTGAAAAACATAATTAAAGTAACAAAATGTGACAAAAACAGCATTCAAGTTATATGGCAAATAAAAAAGTAAATAACAATTTGTAATAAATTCTGATTATTTGGTAAAATCAAATGGAGAAAATAATATACAAGGCAATTCCTGAGTTACAAACAGGTTATGTTCCTGGACCATGTTCGTATGTCAGAATAGTGTTAATTCCATAAGTTAGGTTAGGTTAAAACATACCCCTGCCCATACAAAACAATATTATCCCATACATAACAAATAATGTAAACACTGTAAATAAAGTGATGTTAAATAACCTAAAACTAATGAAAAAAATTACATTTTGATTAGGGTACAGATTTTTGTGATAAATATGAGATCCCGTGCATAAGTATGGGCGTTTGTAGTTCAGAGACTACCTGTAAATTTATTACAGTACAGTATTGCATTCTGATAAGCGAGTGAGGTGAAGCCTTCAAAGATTGTTGAAATAATCAGCCGCAACCCCCATGAAGTTCACAAGGCTTTCTCATTTGCTGACAGATCATTTGGAAATTATATTGTAAAACTTAAAAAAAAATTTAAGTTCAGGACAAGTTTAATATGAAAGAGCAGGTTTTCCTTTGACATGGACAGAATTGATGACTTGGTCTTGAAGATGTCACAGAACGTCTTATGGAACAATATCCTACAATATAGCTTTATGTTCTGCACAGATTTTTCAGATGGTAAGAGGCAGAGAAAAGGAGAAGCTCAAGAGACAAGTGTGCATCACTTCTGCCCACTTTTACAAAGCTGTCAAGGTTTTTTTTAATCTGAAGCTTCTCACTCGCATTTTGTATGATGAGGTGTCAATGCTGGTCATCACACTACTACATTGTTCTGTGAAGCATGATGTTGTGGGAGACCGTATGGGACTCAGCTTTACATGGCTGACTTTTTGGCAGCTGAGAACCATATAAATGTTAATGACATTGACCATAAAGCCAGTAAGACACAAAAGCTCTTCTCTTAAACAACAAGATCGCACAGCATTTCCATTTTTTTTACCAGAGCTGAGCTAAGACTTCAGAAATGTATCGATTTTCCTTAGTCTTTTAAAAACACCCATCTTGAGAGCTTCAGGTTTTGCACCATATATTGATTACTTGACACCATTCTTAGATTAGCTGTTGTCATTATATTGTTTCTTTGAGACAAAGTTAATTGTGCAGTTGATGAATGGAAGGCATTCAGAGTTGAGCAGTTACCAATTGAATAGAACCTGCTGACTTCTCAAGTTAAAGATAATGGCAAAGGAAGTGAATCAGATGATGACCATGAAGATCCAATCTTGCCAAACTGGAGTCAAATATACAGGTATGGATGAGCTTTGGCCTTAAAGTGTTTTCTATCAAACTGGTGAATGGTTTGCCAAAATTTGCAAGTCTCACCATCTTCAGAGAGATTTGTCTCACTTTCACACATGGACATAAAGATGTTGAGAGCTCTTTTAGTGAGAATAAGGTGAACCTAACCTCTGGAAGAACTAATATGCCTGATGAAGCTTTGAATGGTTACAGCGCCATCTTATCATTCATGTGTAAATACAACAGCAAGCATGAAAAACTTCCTATAAATGCACCAAACTTGCAAGCTGTTCAAAATGCCAGAGCCAATTACCTACAGTACTTTGAAGCAAAGAAACAAGTTGACAAAATTCATCCACTTCTGCTCAGGAAGCTGGTCCTACTTCTGATGATGAAGAGTCAAAGAGATGACAGGAACTACAGGGAGCAGAGCAAAAACTTGTTAAACCGGATGCTTAAAGAAAGGAAGTAATGCAAATGCTAAATGATGTTGAGCACCCATGTAGTGGGACATTGGTCTGGCAGGCATGGGGGGGGCAGCACCTGGAGGGGAGAAGGGTGAGATATCTCTCTCACACCAGAACATCTTGAAATGCTACAAAACATTTTTAATGACATTTTGTGAAGTACACAATTATTATAAGCCAATAATAACTGGAGGTTGTATGGGGTTACTGGGAGGTAGGTGATGGGACAGAAGAAACTTCTGCTTCGCCATCATCTTGGGTAAAGATAGAAGAGTCCACACACACTAAACTATTCGGCCATATAATCCAGGCCAGAATTTTTTAACTACGGTATCCAGCAAATTTGGTATCTTGCCAGATATTAAAATTCACTATCCAGTACATCCTTAGTATTAAGACTATTAGGGCAAAGTAAATCCTGCATTCATGTGCTCCTTCAGTCTGTGAGCAACTTCTCTATTTAATACAAAAATGCATTTTTGTAAAAAATATTTTGTCATCAATATTTAGAATAAAATTTTCATTTTTATGGATCCACAAACACTATGAAAAAAAAAACTATCCACTGCAAAATACAATGACTTATTCAGAGATTACTGACCCACCCTAAACATTCAATGCCAACCAGTGTTGTCGAGTCAGTACGTGAGTGCTAAATCCACTCATGTCACATCCAACTCACACAATACCGTACATTTGAGGAAAATAACAAGAAAAGCTCTTTTAACCTTTACTGTCTGATAAAACCAGTAGGTTACATGATAATATGTATAATTCTCTAACAATTAAATGTATTTTTAAGAGTAAAATTATAACAATGTTGAACCTAAATAAGAATATAAAATACTGTACTGTAAATACACTACAGTAAACTCCTCATAACCTGGACTCAATTAATCTGGATCCTCTTGCAAACCAGACTGGAGTCCAGCATCAGACACATGTATCCCCCAACCTGGGAGAAAACAACCAAAATCCAGATAGCATGGGGGTTAGTTCATGTAAGTGGGGGCTACCACTGTGGTCGCACAGGAGGGTAACTCAACTGCTGCCTCTTATGAGGCAGTTGAAGTGTCTAAGAAATATGATTAGTGTACAGTACATAGTCAATGAAATTAGCACTGAAAACATAACCTTCGGTGGTGTACATGAGTCGTACAATCACCTCCTGCTTCAATTACCTTATCACCTGAAGACTCGACCGACTCATGATAATTTAATCATTAAGAAGTACAATACTGTACTTTATTAATAATATGTACTATGTGCTTCTATTTTTCATCCACAAATATATTAGTGTGCAGTAGGAATGTATACCATAAGAAACCCTCTTCTACTTTGTATGATTCTCTTATCACTCCAATTATATCAGGCTGTGGCAATGAGCGAAAATATTTACAGCTAGTGAAAGTGTATAAACTTTTATCCACAGCATCTATTCTAATTGTGTTAGAAAGATGAATTTGATACCACAATGATTGACTAAATTCTCTACAAGACGTGATTTAAGAAAGACCCACAAACAAAACATTTCTACATGATATAATGATGGGTACTCAACTCTTATGAAAACGAGGCTTGACTAGAGCCGAGTGTGACAGATGCCTGAGAGCGCCAGGCAACATTAGCTGAAGGGCGACTCGCCGAGTACAACTGTATCGAGAACCACCACCAAGCTGCCAAGAGTGTATGAGTGACCAAGGAAAAATTAACTTTTTTCCACAAATGGTAAAGCCCTAAAAAACAAAAAATGTCCTCATGGTTTATAAAAACCCTGAGTGTTAAGTATAGGCAAAAAAATTACAGTAGGTTTGGTGTTCTTAGGTAGCCCGTTGGAAATCCACCATCCTCTTAAATTTTCCACCTTACAATTTAGACAATCCTGTACAGACCCTGCCCAACTCAGACAGGCTTTCCCCTCAATTTGTCCAGATTAGAGGAAGTTTACTATATTAAAAAATGCTCTAAATATAGGGACATTAATGGTTACTCTTAAGTATAGCTACATAAAATTTCTCTCCTTCAATTTGAGTTTTGAACTTTTTGCAAATTCTAGAGAAGGAAGGGTAGGATTGCTTTCCTGCGGGGGTAATTCTTGAAGTCTTTTTTATAGTTGCGGTGCTTACCCAAAGCCCACATGGTCATCTGGTAGAATCCACACAGAGCAAACATTCCAGCTGAAAGATGATACAATAGAACATTATTAGAGTTTGAAAGAGAATGGGAGAAGGAAGCAACCATCAAAATGAAGAATGGGAAAGCACCTGAAAGTTCTGGAATAGTTGTAGAAAAGATAAGAGTATGCTGATGATGGCCAAAATGACATGCAATTTTGATGATGTATACTGTGCCAGATGATGGGAAGAATGTGATTGTGAATGCATACATAGGTAAAGGTAATGCACTTGAATGCAGGAGCTACAGTGGCCTGAAATTGTTTTATAAGGTTATGAAAATTGTAGAAAGAGTGATTGAGAAATTGATAAGGGAGAGAGTAGATATAAACAAAATATAGTTTTGGTTTATGCCAGGTAGGAGGAGTACAGCGGCAATATTTGTTACCAGGCAGCTACAAGGGATATATTCAGGGAGAGAGAAAGTTGTACCACATTTTGTAAGCTTAAAGAAGGCAATCGACAAGAGACCACACAAAGTTGTAAATTAGCCATGAGAAAGCGTAGAGTTGAAGAATGTCTTGTTTGAGTGGTCATGGCAGTGTACGTGGAAAATGGCCATAAAATGATGATGATATTGATACACTGTAGTATAGTATAAAGGGGGGTCAGAAATTTTATATATAAATTTTAAAAACTTCTTTGGATAAATTGTTACTGCTGGTGAAATATGGCAACAAGGAGATTTGAAATGGGATGGAAAACATCAGCAGTATCTTATACCCATGTAGGACTCTGGCCCTAGGTATATGAGTCTATGTGTAGAGGATTGAAAGGGTTACAACTAATTTAGACATCTAAGATCTAAGATAAAATACTATAAAATATTAACTTTATTTATATCTCACCTGGCAGGCATTGTGTCATCACAGTAAAAGCCAACCATGAGCCAACCTCATAAGTATAATTTGGGCATGAGACAGCACTGAAGAGCTGTGTCAGAGGATTACTATCAGGATAAGGGATCTTGCGTTCTTTGCTTCCTGGTGGTCGTAAATTACGAAGGGCTATATGAATGCTGAAGTTTCCAAGTTCACACACCTTTTGGGGATGCAAAGTTATTAGTACTGTATAAATTTGTGATTTCAATTCAAAGTGGTAAGAAAAGATTGATATGATTGATTTAAATACCTGAAACAATAAATTTAATACAAAAGCATTAATTACTTTTTTACTAAATCAAATTCACTGTGATAGCTACAGCAATAGACTTTAAGGCCTTTGTTGTCTTTGGCAATACTACTATCTAACCATCTTCTTAAGATGGTCAGCAACACCCCCACACTTTCCTTCAAAGAAAGTCTGCAACATATTCCCATACTTCACAGTCCTATAAGGGTCTGCTACACATTCTCACACTGTATACAGTTCTTTAAAGGTCTACCATACATTTTCACCCTGCACAAGATCTTCAAGAAAGTGTGACACCTTCTCACATCCACACAACCTTTGAATGAGTCTGCCACACATTCTCACAGGCTATTAAAGGAGATCTGCAGTATTTTCTCAAACTGAACAGGATCATTCAAATGTTGCTTCTCTTCTCATTCTCTACATTTTATAAATTTCTTTTATTCCAACATCAATTTTATCCCAATATCTACATTCCTCTTAAATTAACTTGCTGAGGTAATTGTCAGACATTTTCAGCACATGCTTTGATTAATTATAGGCTATCCAAAAATCAGCAAATCTTTATAATGTGGCATGCCGGCAGGCTATCAACATTGAAAAAGTGGAAATAATGCAGTGACAAAAATTCTGCTGTAAATATGTGATACAGGCATACATGATACAGTACACAGATGATACTAACATGTTTAATTTCTAGTATATATCCATATTCTGCTTACTAAACATTAATAGAAAATGTCACCTAGCTATCTACCTAATCTGCTCTTCCAGGAAGACTCTTCCTTACTGTTTCAAAACTGTACTGTATGTACAGTATTATAAATATGAAACATCACAGTATGTATTTCAAACTGGCAATAAATGCCCAGGTATTCAATCCAAGTGTAATCACACACTATATAAGTGGCAGAGGATAAAAGTAACACTGGTGCAGGTTCAGATATTCAGGAGGCAATACTTGCCAACATTGTGTAACAGAGACATGACTCAAGGGTCTAACGAGCCGATCAGTGGCGAAAAGGATAAAAGTAAATGTAATTGCTCATATGCTTACAACAAGAAACCACATTTAAAAAATTCTGTACTGTACTTACCAAAAATATAGCAAGAGCTGAATATACTTGAAAATCAGATGGGGCTGTGAATAGGGGATGGTTGACGTGATAAGCAACATATGCAGTGAAGCCCCAATAATAAGTACAATTCTTGAACAAATTGAACACGGGCATGGTTCCATGTGAAAACCGGTGGACAAATTGAGTTTCAAGAAGTCGTTTTACATAGTGAAAAGTCCAGCAACCTGCAGCAATGCTGGAAAAAACAATGAGACTTTAATAATAAAAAGAATAAGAAAGAAATCCAAAAATAAGATTTGAAACTAGTACTGTATAGAAAAGTACTTCCGCTTGAATCAAGAATATCACTGCTCAATAAAGTAAGCTATTCATACCACAATAATTATATAAATTATCATTCAATACTGTATTCAAATAAATATTCATCTTATTTAAAGATTTTCTAAGTAAAATGTGATACAGTATTTTAAAAACACCATGCATACCAAGTATCATCAGTTTGTTTATTAGTTTTGATAATTATTGTAAAAAAACCTACTGAGTGCACAAAGACACTGGGGCTGAATCTCCTTTGTCTCCATAGAAAAGCCATGGACGCTGGTAGATCCACAGGTACAAGAGCATAGGGCCAGCATACTCAGCAAAAAACACGGTTTTCCAGCCAATTTGGGGACCAAGATCCTTTACATACAATTTATCTTCCGATTTGATGCCAAGTTTTTCCAAGGTCTCCTCCTCCTTCAACCCTGTATGGGTACACAGAATAAACTTTGATGAAACACCAGCCATGTACATTCATATAGTAGTACTGTACTGTACTTATTTACTACCAATTTATCTTTAGAGTTAGCTGAGCCTAAAGCCTTGCAGCTTGTGTGGCAAGTCATAAGACATATATACAGTACACTTACACCATATCAAATGAAGGATAAGCATTAACCAATTTATGTATACCCCAGCACAGCATATAATTCTAGTGTAAAGGAGCTCTAGGCTCTCCAAATATTGAAAGAAAAAAGGAGAATGAAAGATGTACAGTATAGCAAGATGACTAATGGCAAATAAACTGCTCATAGAGATTTGCCATTTCTGTACTTTGAAAACTTTAATTAATACACAATCAATAATACTATTTATAGTACAGTACTGTATTACTCATAAAACATTTGGTGTATGGTTAAAAGAAATCATGATAGCCTAAATGTGACATTAATCCTGATAGAACTAAATGTGACATTAATCCATCTGTTATAACTGTAAACAATATTATGAACATTACCATACAGCATTAGTAAAGCGGAATTCAAAGAAATAAAACATGCACACTTGCCAATGCAAATATTAATAAAATCAGCAAACAAACAGTTACTGTCAAATATTCAACTAAATTAATGCACTTACTGGAATTCTTTTGTAAGTGCATCAAAAGATAACTAACCTTTGCCTTTCTGCTCCAGCCTGACTTCCTGTCTCTCTGGGTGCAGCACACTCTTTTGCAGTTGAACATACTTTTTAACATCCAAAATGGTGCTTGTTGTTTTCAGCTGCATTGTCACATCAAAGAAACAATAATAATACAGTCACATAATGTACCTAAACACATACTGTACAGTCTACTGTATATGGAATTAGATACACATACATTTGCTTGTTTATGTGTAGAGTCACATGCTAGGCACTTCCCTAATACTATGCACATACTGTACATTAATGTAAGCATACTTGTCTACATGTAGAAGTTTATATAAGGAGATGTAAATGTGTTCATGAGCTCTTCAGTTTAAATGAAGAGGGAGATAAGAGAAAGATACCCATGACATTGGAAATGTACTTGAACTAAATTGTAGCCATGTTGAGTTCTTATAAAATAAAATGAAGGTCATAAAATGTGATTAACTCCATTACAGTACAATAATATTAGTACCAAGTACCACTGATTGCTTATCATTGGTCATTTTCCTTACTGTTTACTACCGTTGTATACTAGTGCCGTTTAAGTACTGTATACGGTACTACCTTCATGGTACTACTGTATATGTACACAGCATACAGTACCTGCAGTGTCTATACCCATGCTGAACTGTATGCCTGCATAGTCTACTGTATATCCTTGCCAATCCAATTGTAAACCTCTATAATGATTTTACTGAAGAAATATTAATATTAAGTGCACATTATTATTATTATTACCTACGACTTTAAAGGGGATGGCCCTGGTTCAGATAAAGAAATAAACTAATAAAGAACTTCAGTAATCTCTATGGCCTTGATACTTTATCATTTCTTCAGGTGTTTCAAGATAATGTACAGGGAGCTAAAACCAGGTTACTACTACTTTTGTCAGTTCAAAAACTACCAAATGTACAGTACAGTACTGTATATACCATTAAGTACAGTACTCCATAAAATATATTAGCATGATTACCTATGTATATATCAAAACAAATAAAATGAAGTATAAGATTAAAAAGTTGCTTCTTTAACTAAGAACAGGAAATACTGTATCCCACCCAGTGACAACACAGGTACTTTCACTTACCCCATACAATGTGGTGACAAACTTGCCACTCTTGGCATTGTAAATGTCCACCTTTTCAATCTGTGTAAAGAATAACAAACAATAGGCATTAAACACAATTACAGTACAGAATCTGCATTATTTTCTCCACATAAATAGCAAAATATTGTGATATATAATAAATACACTGTAGCAAGGGCTAAGTAGGCTACATATGAGAGAAATATGAGATTAACCTTCACATAAAAATTTTTGCATGCATTAGCTATACAGTCTTTCCTTGACTTACGACGGGGTTCCGTTCCGACGACCAGGTCATAAGTCGAAAAGGTGAAAATAATACATAGAAATCCTAAAATGGGGGTCTCTTTTTCTTCTCAGCACCACGAGAACTCTAACTTTTACGCTTGCCAGCCATTTTAAAGGGAATTACAAACGAAAAATTTGTCAGTACACAGAGTGATCACTAACGTCGGTACTAGAAAATACGTAATTTGAAAAATATTTTATACGACCACGGCAGTCATATGTCCGGGTTGTCGTAAGTCGAGTATGTCGCAAGTCGAGGAGTACCTATATTCTTAATCGTAAATGTAAAATCAATAAAATTTTCATTGCTATTTATTAGTCACTTGTTAATTTAAACTCTAGCTGACAATGAATTATACTTACAGACAACATAAGTACAGTACTGTACTATGGACTACCCAGGTTTCAACGTTGGGCCCTAATTAGTTATTTCTATTAGCGGTGTGCAGCAAACACACAAATATAACTAAAAAGGCATAATGCTGAATATATATTCAATTACTTACAGATGACGTTCTGGAAAGAGGCTGTTATGCCTGTGTATCCAGCTCTAAACTTTCAGTTGAATAAGTGGTGGTGGCGGTCGAGATAATTTTGTCGAACTGAATTTTAGCTTTGTAATCACATAGCAAATCATGATTTCTCCAAGCTTTGTCTAAATTTCTTTCAAAAGATAAGACTGACTTAGATCCAATTACATACTGGGGTAACACATTCCAATTATTCATTACTCTATTACAAAACGAGTTCTTTCTCTTGTTTAGTTTTGATCTACCCTTCAATATTTCCTTATGTCCTCTAGTTACCTGGTCCTCTCACCATATAAAAATATCCGGACACACTTCCGGGTCATGCACACCACACAGAATCTTTTATGTTTCTATCATGTCTCCTCTTGATCTTCTGTAGGTTAGCACGGGTAATCTCAGCTTCCTTAATCTTTCTTCATACTGTAGATCAGGTTCTTCAACATTGGTACCAGTTTATTTGCTTTTCGCTGCACATTTTCTATTGCTTCTATGTCCTTAATTAAATATGAACAACAGACTTAATTAGCATATTCTAGATGGGGTCTAACGAGTGCAACATATAATGATTTGAAAATTTCCTCATCTAGGGATACAAATGTATGTCTTATGAAGCCAACTATACAATTCGCTTTGTTTATTTTCTCTGCTAGATGTCTTTAGAAATTCAGCTTGTTATCAATTACTACCCCTCTGTCATTTCCTCACACATACTGTATTCGTTACTAGTTACATTAGACGTCCCAACTCTCATGTACAGTACTTACATTTCTGCTACCTTGCTTTATAGTAGTGCGATAAAACTTGCAGGAGTGAAAAGATATAGCTATGCAATGTACCATTATTAATTCAGATTTAGGCTTAATTTTTATTTATTTTTTATTAAATGATTTTAATTAGGAATGAATCCAAAATATCCGAGCGGTTCCAAAAAGTCACCCAGCAGCGGGCTTTGTATGAAATAATTTCTGATGGGGGATAGGATAGACTGATTTTAGTTAGTAAGATACTGCAGTCATAATACAGTAGTCATTCCACTTTATAGCTCAGGCTCCTGTACTGTATGTAATAGTTGATATTAGCGTCATAGAAATTGTGCAGTACCTGTACTTTATTCACCTTAGTAAAGAAAGTGGGAGACCATAGAAGACTGAGCAAGTTTTTGTATGTGGGTTTGACCAAGTTTTTATTTGCGGATAGGAGTAAGTTTTTATGGAGTTTTTTATTGGGTGTATCACATCACTGCTGTACTTCCTGCCAGCCAGTTTCCCATTTTCATTCTTACATATACTGGGTTTAAATTATAAAGTTACCAGGCTCCCACTAGAATGTATCATTAAAAATCAAACCCTCTCCTTTTGGGCGGGCAGGCCATAACACAACTTTTAGGGTCAGACTAATTACCCAAATGTACCCAAATGTAGCCGCAATGAAGTCAAATAATGGTCCTACATGAATAAATCGGACTGCCAATCACTTCTCGACTGGTATTTGGTGTCATAAAGTCACAAAAAATTGGTAAACTTAATTTAATCTGAGTTAATAGATCAAGTGCATGTACCTAACCTAACCTAACACAACACAACTCAGATTAAATTAAGTTTACCAATTTTTTGTGACTTTATGACACCAAATACCAGTCGAGAAGTGATTGGCAGTCCGATTTATTCATCTAGGACCATTATTTGACTTCATTCCGGCTATATTTGGCTACATTTGGGTAATTAGTCGGACCCCAACTTTTTATACTTAAACAAGTCCTCTGTAACTTAGGTGTTACAAATTAGTCAACGAAATATTCAAGGTGAATTACCTCTGGCCCAGAAAACATTCATTTGGATCGACTTTCGCGGCTTAATCTTATCAAACTTATTACTAATCTTCGAATTTCGAGTTTGAACCATGTAAAAAAAAAATCAGGCCAGCCACATACCTAGAAACTCTGAATTAACCTTACCTATATATAGACTCACCCCTCTTATCATATATTAATTATAACTAAATTATATCATGAAACCTTCGAGTAAAATTCAAAAGAGGAATAATTCAACACCACCTACCTCCATGTCTAGTCACTGCAACACCTGACACTGACCGAAGATGCAGACGACGAGACCACTTTCCTAGTTAAGAATATTGACAGTAATGTTACAATAAGTTCTTCCTTATTTTATTTTTATTGCTCAACCATATTTTGAAATTAATCTGGTAATTTTAATATGTATATAGATTATCACCACTAAATGTGACATGTTTTTCTTGAGAATTTTAGTTAGTTATCAACTCACCATATAAGTCACACAGGTACACAACCAAGGAAGCTGGACTAGAGACGGTCAAGATGGCTCACTCATTGCTTAATTTTCGTTCCCTGTGATGGTAACGCCACTAGCGGTCGAGAAGTATAAACTCAGTCGAGCCCCTTTCACCTTACCCGATTATATGTGATAACACCAGATTTTTCAGTGATAACAATTTATATGAAGATTATGTAACTATTGTAACTTGCCTTGTAGATATCAACTTGTAAGTTAAAGAAGTCAAATGTGTAATATCCGATTGTTCTTGGTTCAGACTATGTAATGTTCACACAAACATTATTTCCTTTTTTTTAGTTTATTATGAAAATAACACTGCACAGTATGTTGTTGTAATGGCAATTAATCAACGCTGGGCAACTGTCTTTCTATGAGAGAATATAGGAGGTTATTGTCTGAGCTCCTTTGAATGACACACTGGAGTGTCACTTACTTTTTGCTTTTATCCTCTTCACCATGATCGACTTGTTAGCCGTTTCAGCGATCGGTCACGTCTCTGTCACGCACTGGTGGCAAGTACTGGGCATGCACCGGCTCCTGAATGTACCTGAACCTGCTCCAGTGTTGGTCAAGTCTTGTCTTGAAAGAGCTCACACTCGGTGCCGTCACAACACTTTCTGGTAGATTGTTCCAAGAATTCACAACTCTCACTCCGAAAAAGTTTGCCCTCACAGTTTTCTGGACTTGCGGCTTCTTCAATCTTGAGCTGTGACCCCTTGTGGGGCGAGCGTCCGCCAGCTCCAAGTAAGGACACTCGACTGAGTATTGCCCCTTTAGATGCTTATACACCTCTATTAGGTCACCCCTTGCCCGTCTGTAGTATAAGCTAGGCAAGTTCAGGTGCTTTAATCTCTCAGGGTAGCTGAGGTGCCGAAGGGCAGGCACCAGTCTGGTGGCCCTCCTTTGAACATTTTTGTATTGTGACTGGATGCAATATGTTTTATAAGAAATAAATTAGTTAAGTCATACTTGATGTTTCACCCTTCTTCCCACTCTCGATTTGGTCAATGAAAAACCCAACCCAATGCCTAGCTTACTCTATCCGCTACCTAATGAGCTACATACTGTCCAGGGGGGTCTGGTGGAAGCGACCTTAAAATTAAGAGTAGAGTTAAGTTATCCCTTAGAATTAGTGACCCCAGAATCGGGCAGTACCCCACGAAAGGCTGAAAATCAAACTGGAAGGGTACGGAATTCGGGGAAATGTCCTAGCGTGGATAGAAGACTTTCTACATGACCTCAAGCAGTGTGTGGTGATCAATGGCACGAAATCATCATCCGTACCTGTCACAAGCGGGGTACCACAGGGCAGTGTATTGGGCCCGTTGTTGTTTGTTTGTTTCATAAATGACATGCCTGACGTTGTACACTCCTCCATACAAATGTTTGCCAATGACGCCAAGTTATTTCTGGAAATCAAGACCCAAGCGGACTGTGAAGAGCTACAGAAGGACCTCTGTGGGCTCCAAGAATGGTCGAAGAAATGGCTGCTGAGATTCAATGTCACGAAGTGTAGTGTAAGAGGATGCACCTGGGGCATACTAACGGTAAGGAGGCGTATCATATGTCCCAACGGGATGAAGAAACTGCACTATTTGAGACTGAATGTGAGAAGGACCTAGGTGTGTATGTTGACAATAAGCTGAAGTTCTTGGGCCATTGCGAGAAGAAGGTAAATCAGGCAAATAAATTATTGGGTCTTATAAAGGTCGTTTAGATATCTAGACGGTCCGTCCCTCGCAACGATCTTCAGGAGTGAAGTGCTTCCCCATCTGAAGTACTGTCACCCCGTCTGGTCCCCGAGATATGCTAGGGACTGTCAGTTGGTTGAAAATGTTCAAAGGAGGGCCACCAGACTGGTGCCTGCCCTTCGGCACCTCAGCTACCCTGAGAGATTGGAGCGCCTGAACATGTTTGTCGTTAGGCTGATTGTATCATCACCTGTAGATATATATTAAGTGATGATAATAGTAATCTACCGTTCAGAGGGAGGCATTGTCCTATGAACGTAAAATCTTGTCAGAATAAAACATGACCGGGAGTATAATATATTAATTACGATACTTTTAATTACATAGTAACTCAATTGGTGATTATCCAAAAAGTTTACAAAATACCAAATTATTTATCTCATACTAGTGGCTGCAGAGCCGATTTGAGAGAGCAGCCTCCAAACATTTCAGTCAAATGGATCAACCAAAGTTGCCTAACAACTATTGTTTATACTTACCGGCCGCGTGGGGACGCCACATGTGTGAGTGAGACCTCCTCCTATGGTAGTGCTCCTTGGACTCCTTGATACAACAACACCGTCCACACACGGCAGCATGTGAAGTGATGTTTACCTTCATGTAAACGATATACAGTACTTCTAAAAGAAGAGGATATTAACGGTGTGAGAACTTAGATGAAAATGGAGGATATTTACGACAAGTTTAAATTTCTAATAAAGAAACCCGAGGACTTTTTAAGGTGAGATGCTACACTTTGAAGTAGTTTGGTTCAAGTGATGTTAATGTTTTCGCTAATCATATCATCACAAATATATCCTTGCAATTTTGCAGGGATAGTAATATTGGTAATTATACAGGACTAACCTACGGCCGAAATTGATTGAAAACAATTATAAAAATGCCGGATTTTCACTTATATTAAAGTGGACACGGTTGTAGTTTGTGAAAATATGTTAAAAAATTGATATATTAAAAATAAACGTTATTTAACATTCGTGGGTATGAAAAACAGGGATAGGGTCATCTCGTACCCAAAAAAGTTAACTCGTACCCACGCCAACTCGTACCCAGATAACTCGTACCCAACTCATAAGTCATACTCAAGATTACTTGCACCCAATTCAAGAGATAATCCAAACCTATAAGTATATACCATGTATTTTAGCTTTATCTATGATTAAAAAGAAATATTGTAGGAAAGTGCAGTGAAATAGTGAAATGTAATGCAGCACTTTAAAATGGTTGCATTTCATTACATAACTATGTTATTCTGTCACAAACATTGCACTACAAGTATACTGAACTTGACGAGGGCTGAAACGGTACTGGAGCTATGAAACGAAGTCCGAGCTTATATTCAAAACTAAACTAACTCACATAGGATTATTGGACCTCCAAAAACGAGAGATTAGCACGGACAGTGACCCGACATCACGTCCTTCGATAGTCACAAAGCCGCCGAATAACCTGATAGTGATACATAACCATCAAAGGATGTGATGTCAGTTGTCTGCTGCATTTTGAACACTTTCACATCCTGCCAACTAGTCCATGTTGACAGATGAACTCATGGAGATTTCATCCTCCACAAACACAGATTAACTTGTGATACGTTACTGAATATGACATGATAATGACGCCTCCTCGAGGAAGAACAATAATTATATGAACATACAGTGCACATATTACCCAATGAATCAAAACCCATAGAGTACTGTAATATGGGTTTTGATTCCAACAATATTATCCTTGTCATTTATAAGTAAGGCCCATACAGTACTTACCTTCTTTCTGAAAACATCCATTGCTTAGCATGGTACATACACTCACAGTACACTTTTTTACATACCATATAAAAATAAGAATTCTTTAAAGAGAGGGTTAAATCATCTCAAGCTGCTTCTCGGCAGAACTTTGCCAATACATGTACTCTCAATACCCAGCTTAAGTATGAACTGGGTTTCCTGTTTTTCAGTGTCACATTGCACTTCCACTTCACCATTCTTATTTCATCTCACTTAGCCTTGCATATGACATCTTTAATTTACCAGGTTTCACTGCCATGCAACATCACACTTTTCATGCCAGCCACATACACCTTTCCTTTCACTCAGAGGGAAGGTCATGACCTTCAGCCACTATTTACTCTTGTAATTAAGCAGGCTCAGCATCCCGTCAGCACTGTTCATGTCACACAGGTAACGACTCCTTAGACACTGTTCAGGGACAAATCCCCAATGGACACCTGTGCATACAGAACGCTTAAACTCAGCAACATACCACAGTCTGCCGTTTACTCCACTGCACCTCTTGTGTACCCACCTTCCGCATTTGTTGGTTAATTATTATTGAATTGCTGTCAACACCTTTCTTCTTAGCAGCACATTTTTCACCTCTGTTTGTCCTCCCCTCCACATTCTGACTCATGCATTTTTTATTTTATTTTTTACCTACAGTACTTGGTCTCCTTCATTCTCTCTACATGCCTGAACTATTTCATACTATTGTACAGGTACCTCGACACAAAACCTCATCAATACTCTCGATGCCCAGCTGTTCTCTTAGGTCTGAACAGGGTTTCCTATCTCAGGCACTGATCATGTCACCCAGGTAGCAGAATTCACTGACAGTCCAGGTATACAGGATACATTAGTACTGTATATCCAAAATATTCAAACCTTTTCTAGTCAGATTTTTTTTTATCTGCTGCTAACAACCTATGTAATTTCTATACACTTTAAATATATATTTGTCTTAAATATTGTACAATGTTATATAAATTTTGTTATAGATACTGTACTGTATTTTAACCCATTTCAGGCCTAATAGTAAACTTCAGGAAGCATGGGTGGAACAGACAAAGAGAATATACAATTTTTTGAAAGCAGAAGAGAGGAAATATAATCTTCCCATCCCAGAAAATGCACTTCCTCAACTTTTCACAGATGGACTTGATGCTGAACAGGTGAGTCATGCACAAGGACTTTATGCAACATGTATCGCGTTCCTTTCATCGTATCTGGCTTTAGTACAGTGGGGTATGCTATAACGAACGGATCCTACTACGAATATTCCTATAACGAACGGTTTTGCCTATAAAATTGAGAATGCTATAACGAACGAAACTCCTACAACGAACATTATTTAATTTTTTTTTTTCTAATTTATTGTTTTTTATTACAAATATTAATGATATTCTTTATTTCAGGGGTTTAGATGCATATTTATGCACTTTTTTACAATTTTTACAATTTTATATTATATTTTTCAGTGTTAAGTGGTTGTATTTGGGGGCCTGGAACGGATTAATCCTATAACGAACAAGGTTCTAGAACCAATTAGATTCGTTATAGCATACCCCACTGTATTTAGGTGTCTTTGTTCTAGACAGACAGAAATGATTAATGTGAGAATGATTCTGAAATCCTGATGTGTAACTGAGCCTAAGGAGAATGAACTTGATAATCCTCCTCCCTCAGATATTTTGCTAGGAGTGGGAAGTAGGGTTGGCCAGGTCATAGCGTGTAGCTGAAATGAATACGAATGGATCATATACATTTTGTGGTATCTTACATACAGTATTTGCTCCCTGAAATATAACTTCTTTCTCACCACTTCTTAAGGGCTAGAGTTGCTTGTAGGTAAGAGGGCTAATCTTCGAGTTATTGCCTCAGCCATCGTTAAGTTAAACTCCAGGCACCTGGCTATGGTAGGTCTACGTACTCCTCTTAAGTGGATATATTGGGGGAGGGGGGGGGGATCTAATCTTGTAAACTGGTCATGCATGAAATAAACAGTAAAGAAATACATGTCCTTACCACAGAATGGCATCATAAGGGTAAGAAGAGTAGAGAATTCATGTGATGGTGTGTGTGTGAGTGACACAATGGGGTGAGATTGGCAGTACAAGGTGCACGGCAATGATTGTTAGGTAGTGTGAGATACAGGACACTTTGTTTTATTATCTTATAACTATTTACATTAAAGTATTTACAATTACTATTGCTGCCTCCATTAAATGATCATGAATCTGCTGAATGGCAAGTCCCCAACTACACTTTAGCTTGAGGGCTGGGGTGAGGTGCATGAAGTCGAGATTCCTACATCACAAAAGCTGAGAAGCTACTGAGAAGGGAGACTGGAAGACTCGAATGTATGAGTGAGTCTAGGGTAAATGCCTACTTGCCACATATTTAGCCAGGTTCATGTGGCAATTCAAACAGTATCATGTAATTACAGGGTGTCATATGGCGTGAACCGAAGCCCTGTAAGCTCACGTCATATGACGTAAACCAAGACTGAGGATTAAGGATTCCCTGGGTCCTAAGCTTCATGCTTTTGATAGGTATACTCACGAGTCATTGTATCCAAGCCTAGTTTTAAAGTAGGATTTCAGGATGAATCTCACCTTTGTGAAATAGTTTTAGTTATGTATACAAGATTCAATTCTCGACAGGATTTACCTGAAACTTTGTTATTGTGACATTTTAGTGCTAAGGTTGTGAAGGGTATCTCATACAGACAGATAAAAGCCTAATTTCTCATGTTTGTGTTTTATTTGTGCTACAGTATTAATACGGTAAGACTGGACCATTTTGGGGTCAAGAGTTCAAAGTTTAATATCTTGTTCTCAATCTTTGATTTGAAGACAATAGAATATTATACTACCTGAAATTTAGGGAGCAGTGGCATTGCTTAGTCCATTTATTCATCCTTCTCTTCTTTATTAATACAATGATATGTCTGTTAGCCGGTACAATTGACGCAGAGCACTTCCAGGAATGAGAGATCTCCGGTAACGGGACGACTCTCTCAAAGCCGGAAAAAAATCCCTCATCGCCAGAGTTTTCCGGGTAACGGAAAAATGTTCTCGAAAGTTCCAGAAATTGCCCACTACACCATCTCTTGAACCAGGAAAAATATCACCCATCCCCTGAATTTTCCAGGTATCGGGAAAAATTTCTCAGAATTTTCTGGAAAATGTGCCCCTCAAAAAATCGGAGAGTTCCAGGAATGAGAGATTCCGGCTAAAGGAGATATTACTGTATTTCTTTCATAATATTTTAACCATTGAAAGAATTCAAATGAAGTTTAGCTGATAATGTATTTTGTACATAATCAGTATGATAGGCAAAAAGTTAAGGGTATTTATAAGTCATTTGTTATTCACTAATTCAGTAAGAAAAGTCAGAATTGAAAGTCACAAACAAGGTTCGGTGCTCAACTGGTTCTTATTCTGGGAAGCATCATTCAGATTCACGGACGTCTTGTGAATCTGTTGTTGCTCACAATGTCTCTATTTTCAGATTTGGCAGCTGGTGGAACTACAGAACAAACCTCTTTTGGCTGTTCCAGGTGACTTTGAAGAACTTGATGACATGAACCTTTGTTTTATGGTGGCTAAACTTAGTAGTTTAGCCAAGTATAACAAACTGTCACTAGAAGAAAGTGAGAGAAGTGAAAAATATAATGGAGAACTGGATGAGGGGATTGGAGGGAGCAGTGATGAGGAAGATGATGTTAGCATGGAGGAGGAAGATGAGGAAGATTTACAGCTAGACAGGTCAAAAAACAATGAGAAATTAAAAGGTAATGATATCAGTGATAGTGACAATGAAGAGCTTTTTGAAAAGCCAGAGGATATCAATGATATAGGATTAAATTGTGAATTTGGTGATGATAGTGAGGATGAGGAGGACAATTTTGATGAGTTGATTGCACCAGAAGGACAAGATTCTGATGAAAATGAAGAGGTTGATAATGTAAAAAATGATGATAAGGGTGATGACATAGATTATGAAGATATGAAAGAAAAAAGAAGAGAAAGAGATAAGGCACCAAAATTTGGCACTACATCGGTTGACACAAAATTTTTCAAACTCCGAGAAAGTGAATGGGTAGCTGACAATGATGCCATTGGTGATAACTATGACGTAGACTCAGAAGATATAGACTTCATGGCAGACATTTCTGAAGGAAGTGATGAGGAGGTAAGCATCATTGTCATTTATATTTTATCTTGCATTCATTATTATATTGGTATCTATAAATTCTTCTCGGGACATTTCTCCACACATTACTTTTGCCATATGGTTTTACAGTCAAGGTTGTTTATTATTTTTATATTGCTTTAGAAGAATGAGAAAAACCCTCTGTAGTGTTATGATAAAGTTAGACATGAAGGTTTATAGACAGCATTATTTATTTGTTTCAACTGAACTTATGATTTTCATCTCAGATTTGAGGTGTTTTCACAAAGAGGCATTTGTCTTAAAAATTTGTACAAAGATTAATTTGTCTTGATCTCAAGGTCCTTGATCAAGATTTTCCTGTCCTTGCTTTTAGCTTTGACTTTCCATTCTTGTTCAGTTAATAAACTTTTCTCTTATGTTAAGGCTGTAAATATTTGTATTTTTTACCTTTCTGAAGGGTCATAGATTGCAATTTTTAAAAAATGTTCCACATTTATTGTTGTCTGATTACAGGATTCAACCTGGAACTTAGAGATGAAATGTTGTTACACCTAACATATAGGATAATTTTTTTTATATTCTTGTATATCTTTTTTGAACAGTGTTTGTAACTATATGATGTCATATTTTCTCAAACAGGAAGGTGCCATGTATGATAATTTTTTTGATGGTGTATCAGAAGATAGAGTTAAAACAAATAAAGCAAAGAAGCTGTCAGAACTTTTATGTGGGGATGAAATGGAAGATAATGAAGAAGATGAAGAGGACAATGATGATGATGATGGTGATAATGGAGAACATTTTGATAATGATAGAGTTGAGAAAGAAGATAGTTTAAGTGATGAAGAAGAAGGACCTCATAAGCTTTTGGGTATCCCCAAAAAAGAGGTATGGAGTACTGTACTTAACTGTTAGATATAACTACAGATATTGATTATTAAATATACAGTAATTGCCTGTATTGGGATTCAGATCTTCCAGCTTACTCGTATAGTTTTAAAGAAGATTTAAAATGAGTATCGGTATTAGAAGGTAGGGAGGGTCTGGGTATGTTCCCAAGAATGGTTGAAGGAAGCACAGTGACTTAAATATTATGAATCTGGGAAATTGCCATTCTTTCTATAAATGGAAATTATCAGTGTGTGTGTGTGTACTAGGCAGTGATAAACAATGTATACGCTGTAAATTTTGAACATATTTGCAGATGATTTGAAAAGTTGGCAGCAATTTCATAATGATACTATGAAGATAAATCGTATGTACACACAATTAAAAGTATCTTTATGGATGAGTCCGATGAGTTTCAAAATGAACACTACAATTCTTGTTTTTTTGGTAGGATTCTCAAAATTCTGTCTGTTGTGTCATATTGTCTAACACAAATTTGTAAAGATACTTTTTGTTTTTGTGATGGATTAGGGAAGGTACATTTAAGGATATTCCTTGAGAATATTACATGTTCAAGCTAGGTTTGCTTAGTACACCATGTACAGTAATTTACAAGTCAGACTTGTGGGCCTAGTAGAATGGATATATGGTTTGGATATCTGCAGGGTTGGCCGATTGAAACTAATGGTTTAAACCAAATGGTGTGAACCGTGGTTTAAACCAATTTTTTTTTTTAATAGATCTATGCCTTTTTTCTTGGTTTTAATGAGTCTTTTAAGCATGTAGGATGAGTCTGGGTGACTGATCAAAGCTTGTGTTTTTCAAATTTGGCCTTTGCACAGTGGGAGATGGTTGTATTAATGTTGCTGACTCACATCAGATAATAGCCATAGTACATGCCTCTTCAATGGCGATTTGAAATCAGGGGCAGTGGGCTGCTCTCCCAGTATAATTACTGCTTTACCACAGTAGTGTCCCTATACAGTATTGTACTGCTGAGACTTTCTAACAATACTAATGGTTATTTCTAATGTTAATTTGGAATTTTTCTTTAAGAAAACACTTAATAGAATGTGGTGTGGATGAACAAAGCCAGACGTAGGTAGTGTAAATAGGAATAGGAAAAATATAGCATCTTTTTTGCAGGTAAAGTCCACATTTGAGAAAGAGCGAGAAAAAGAACTAAAGGTTATAGAAACCCTAGAAGAAGCTAATACAAGTGAAAAGCCCTGGTACTTACGTGGAGAAGCTGTGGGTATTGACCGTCCAGAAAATTCTGCATTAGAAGAGCATATGGAGTATGACATCGTTGCTAGACAGAGTAAGTTAACTCATAAGTATATATAGCATGTAGCTATATTTTCACCTGTGGTATAACATTTCCACCAGAAAGCTTCAAATACCCATCTGATTTATCTGTGTCATTTCACATAAACTATCAAAAGTTTGTTCATTTCCATAAATCACTTGACACTTTTTACTCTGGGCATTCAGTCATATCACCGTTGTATAGATGTCCATTCCTCTCACTTATAGTGGCTTTTATTTCAACCTTCCATTGCCTTCATAATCTTCTTCCCCACTTGCATTCCACCTCTGACTTATAAATTTATTTTACCTATCTCTTTTTTTCCTGTTCTCTCCTGATATCCATTCCACATGTGCATCTCTAGATATGTTCTCTACATGACTCTTCTACCACTTCTTCATCCTATTGCTTCTGCATTTCTTCCTCTCTTCATCCTTTCCACCCAACATATTGCCCTCAAGCATGTTATTTATGTCATTTCTAGTTTGTTCCATCCTCTTGCATCTCGAGTTCATGTCTTACATCCAGAAAATAATTTTGGCTTATAATTCCCTTACTTATACATCTTTTTCCCATTTGATATGGTACTGCTCTCTCCTTACATTTCTCAGTGCAGGTAAAAATATATTTCCCTCAGCCACTCTGTAATTCATTTCATCTCTCATTATTCTAATTGCTGCTGGTAGTTCTGGAATAATTGCAGAAGTGTTGAAAGTTTCAATCAATGCTGGCATGACAATGATTGATTTGACTAATGCAATTATAATGGAATGTAATATTTTGGCTTACTGACTGAAAAGCATGATAGTGAATATTTAACTGTACCGTACTTGCCTGAGAGCTCAACACAGCAAGATTTAAACTTAAAGTGTAAATGACTTTTGATTGATATAACGATCATTGTAAGGTACACTAGGGTCGGGATATATAGCGACTTTATAAATTATTTTTTTATATCACGGCTTCCAAATTATCGACATTTTCCTATATACAGTACTGTATAGCGATAAGTTTTTTATTTCGTGAGGGAAATCAGGCAGGAAATATTTCAAATTTATCACGACTACCAAAATTATAGACATTTTCCAATATATAGCGATAAATTTATTTACAGTAGACTCAAAATCATATACAGTACAGTATTACCACGCTTTATGCGTTTTTTTTAAGCGTTTCCACGTTTACGCGGTACCCTGCCAGACCCGGAATGCTCACTTTACGCAGTGCATGTACTCTTTTACGCGGAGAGCGGTGCGGGCAGGGTGCACACAAGGTCGCCCAGTCATCAAAACATTACCGAGTTTTTCACCCGCCACCCACCACAGCCGACCCAAGTCAGTGATAGTGATTGTGAGGATATGGACTTATATGGACTTTGAGGGGTTTGACAAAGAGGCCCTGCAAACCTCTGTGGTGGATAGTGATACAATTGATCCAAGTGATACAGGTGAGGGCCAATAATCTGCCCTCTGCCTCGGAACCAACCCCCCATCCCCATGTGCCCAGCCATCTTTTCTACTAATGTAAGTGTTAAAAAACCTAATATTATTGATATTTCTCTTAATTATTAATTGTGTGTGCATACCATCATAAAATTAAGAAGTTATTTTTACTACAACGTAGGTATTGTGTCTGAAAAAGTGGAGTTTGATGGTTGGCCCGGTCTCTATTTCAATTAATCCCATATGTTATGTTGTTCACTTTACGTGGGCCTCCGTGGGTTCAATTGACTGCATAAAGCGAGGGTTCACTGTAAAGTCAGAAACACTCTTAAAAATCCCCTAAATCACCAAAAAAAATAAATAAATAAAAATACGAATTGAAAAACTGAACAGTACTTAAATGTACAGTACTGAACTCTAAGACTAAAAATTTTATCTCTTGTGCAATATATATGATGTCAATTCAAATTATTCGCTGCCTTGCAAGGATTCCAGCAATGCAATTTATATTCTGCTAACTTTAGTTTATGACATTTTATAAGATAAAAACTTTGAGCCTAAAACCACTTTCAATCTTGCCGGAATTGGAGGGGGAGTTGATGTATTATGACAGCTGGCCCAGCCGCCGGCCAAAGATACCTAATGGTATTTATTTATCTGTCATATAGGGGGAGTTTAAGTTTTTCTCTTGTAACATGTTAATGAATTGACTGAAGAGAATACAATTAACATTGCTGGAATTCTTGTAAGATTGTGATTAATTTGAATATATACTGTACATGCTATAGTTTTCACTTGACAAAAATTTTATCAATTATTTGTACAATTTAGTATAAAGGACTAAAAATTTTATCTCTTGTGCAAAATATATAATGTCTGTATTCAAATCATTCGCTGTCTTGCAAGGATTCCAGCAATGCAGTTTATATTTGCTAACTTTAGACTGTGCCATTTTATGTCAAGTTTAGTCACCTTTATTGACCTCCAGAACCAAACCCTATTTTCCCCATTGATTACATGTAATTATATATCGGGATTTAGTATATAGCAAACATCCTTGGATCCTATCTCGTGATATATCCCGACCCTACTGTACTGTATAGAGAAGTGAAAATTTAAATATCTCCCTCAGGACCAGTGATCACTGAAGATACAACATCACTAGTTGAAAAGATGATAATGAATCGCATCCGCATAAAGGCTTGGGATGATGTTGAGCGGAAAGTGAAGCCGACTCAGGATCCTTATGAATACAAAAAGAAACTTCTCCTTGATCAAGAGAAAAGCAAGAAGAGTCTGGCTGAAATTTATGAGGAGGTTGGAATTTACTTAAGAGTGAAAGAAGAATTACTGTAGTGTTTTGGATATGTGAAGAGTTGGAAGGAGGCAAAAACTTAAATTAAATTATGAGTTAGTGTGTAGTGAATGAGAATAGATACACTGTATTACCACTTATAAAATTAAAAGAGAGTGAGGAACTATATGAAAGGATGGAGTGACAGGGTTTAGTTGGAGATGAGTAGATAAGTGTACTAAGGTGAGATTCTGTATGGCTGTCTGCTGTATAGTGGAAGAAAACATAAAGACTGATATGAAATGATTGAAGGATAGTGATTTTCAAGGCATCAGGGATAGATAAATGAGCTAGTATTATTTTAATGTGAGAAGAGGTATGTTGTAGGCAAGGACTTTCATAATACAGCCCTGTATGTATGAAAGCATAAACGAAATATATTATGTGATTGGACTGGATGAATGTATAATTGCTTACAAGACAGGTGAGTATTACAATTAATTAGAATTTACTGCCTAGACCCTAGATTATGATTATAATTAATTGAAGTAAGACGAGGGTACTTGTGTTGCTGTGATTGGTTGAGATTGTGCTGTATGAATTATTGACTACTATTATAGAGAAAAAATGTATTTGTGATTGAAAAGGGGGATTAAAAATATTGGGTAGAGTACAATAAAATTCTGAATATATGCAGGCTGAGATAGTTTGGGCATGGTGAGAGAATGGAAGAGACCATTTGGGTTAAGAGGTGTATGAGCCTAAATGTGGAGGGGATGAGAACCAGGAGTAGGCCAAGAATGACATGGAAAGAGGGTGCAAGAAATGACATTAGAGTAAGGAACATGACAAGAGACCATGCAGCATGGAGAACTGCCATCAGATAATCCTGGCTAACCCTCACAAGTGTGGAAAATGGCCATAAAATTGATGTTGATGGTGGAGGGGGTGAAACTAAAATGTAGAGTAAAAATTTTAAAGAAACCTTAGAATGCGGCACTTTAGGAAAATTGCTTGGATATTATAAAATTTGTTATAAGAGGCAGCTAGTTGTGTCATACAGTACATTGTATGCAAGTAAAGTTTGGACCTTCTAATTTAAAGCATAGAAAAGTGGAAATGTTTTCATTGAATACTCTCTGGAAATAAATGTGGATAAGAAACAATTTAAGTATAAAAGGAAATCATTGGGTAATTAAGTATTTTTAGGGTGATTGATATAGAATTGGGATACTGAGAATTCACGTTACACACATAGTGTGAGGGCAAATAAAGAGTTCTCGTGAGACGATTGAGTGATAATAATAGAGGTAGACAAGAGATCACCCTGGACAGACAGATGAAAGGCAGCTGTTTATGCTGTTTTCAGATGAATCAAAGGATATCTACATTGTTGTAAGCAAATTTTGCCTGCATTTCCTGAACAATGTTCCATTGCAACCTTACAGGAGTACCAGAAACAACACAAGAAGGGTACTGAGGATGGGGAAGAGGAGCCCAAGGAACATAAGGAGATAAGTGAGAGAATGGAAAAGCTTTTCATTAAACTTGATGGCCTCTCCAACTACCACTACACACCCAGACAGGTAATCTTTAGACTTATACAGTATATGCAATATTTATACAGTTCTGTACTGTACTGTATATAGGTAGTCCCCACTTAACATGACAGATACATTTCTAAAAACTCTCTTTGCAAATTCTTGCTAAACGAATGCCCCCCCCTAAAAAAAAAATTGTATACTGTACCATGTAAAAGATGAGAGATGTGTGTTGGGGGAAAGAAAGAGCATTTAAGAATAGTATAGGACTGCAGCCCCCAAAAGATACTGTACACCAACGAATTCTGTAAAACACCATTTATTTATATTTCATAATTAATTCCCTTTTTTCATTACATTTAAATAAATTATTCCTCATCTTGAGTCTGAACAATTGCTTCTTGAACTGCAGAGTAATATGCATTTCAGACATGTGCAGAAGTGAAGATCCAGACTAACTTGCCAGCCATTAATATGGAAGAAGCCACACCTGTAACAGCAAGTGATGCTACACTTCTGGCTCCTCAAGAGATATTGGGTAAGTCGTAGCATCTTTTGTTGTGTCAAAATACTTATAACAGGAAAAGATATACACTTGAGATAAAAATTGGTTGACTAATTCATTGTCATTTGTATCATTGCTTGCTCTTCTTTACTGTCTTTACTAGCAACTTTACACATCTCTTGACACAGTCCTAGTTTCATTGGGAATCACATTTTCCACTTCCTGACAAACTCTTACACGTATTTCACTTTCCCTTTAGAAACTTTTAGACAAAATTCAACGTCTTGCTGTACATCCCATATATTTTGAATGCTTCCCACACATTATTATTTTTTGCACATTTACATATTGTTATATGATGGCAGAACCTGTACGAGGTGAACTACGGGGGAAAACAGAACGCACAAGCACAGATAAAATGCGTGAGCGAAGGACAAAGAAGGCTCACCAGAAGAAGAGAGCCAAGATGCAGGAGGCTAAGTTGAAAGCAAAGATGAAGAAGGCAGGACCAGATGGAAAGCTTGATGTTAAATCCACAATGAAGGTTATTGAAAAGGCTGTCAAGTCAGGACAAGTGAAAGTGGTAAGTGTGATGGATCTAAATATTATACTTTTGTGAAAGTAAATAGAAGATGATAGAAAGTATTCAAAAGGTTGTAGAGAAATACCTCTAATAGCAGTCTATATACTTTCCTGGAATATGGAATGCTATAAGAAATAGCTCCATAGTTTCAGTGGAGACATGTTTATGATGGCACTATTTATGACATAAGAGTGATGTATAAGGGCTTTACTGGGTGTCATGAATAGCACTAATAATAATACTCAGGAACAGATCCGGGGGGGTCCTGGAGGTCCAGACCTCCCTTTTCATCAGAAAATTCCAATACTTTTACTTTAATGCAGTAATATCCTCAGGTGTTTTGTATAGTAAAAACTAATTACTGCTGACCTTAGAATATTTACTAATATCAAGTGCTCATAGCTTCAAAATGGCCTCAAAATGCAAATGATATTGGTCAGATTTCACAAAATTCTCGGGGGGCAACAGCACCCCCTAAACCCCCCATCTGGGTGAGCTTGCTGTGCTCACAATGTTTCCCCACCCACAACTTCTTGGATCCCCCCTTTTGATAATCCTGGATCTGCCCCTGATACTGTACACTTAAACTTGGGACTACTTCTTACATGGTTCATGTAAAGAACTACTGCTCTGCTTGAACCATTTCTTATGTGAAATTCGTCGAAAAGATTCACAAAAATTAAGTTATAAATTTCGTTGATCTTTACACTTTTCGTGTCTTAATTACATGTCACCATATGTTATGAGATGCTCAGTGGATGTGGTGAGTGCAAGTTTTTTTTATTTATAACGATGTTTTACCTTTGTATTTTTCTGTGGGTTTAAATCATTATCTTTTATCTTATTTTGTGGGCTTTCATATTTTTTCTGAAGTGAACTTTTTTCCCTCAGTTTCCAGTCACTGGAAATTAAACACTGTGTTCTAGCCCCCCTAGAATTGTAGACCCTCAAAACTGGATCTCAGAAAACCAAATATATTTTTCCCTGGGTTAGATTAAATTTTCTTCCCTGACTGTCAAGTTTTGCTTCCACACACTCACAAACTCAGTTGAACATTTGTTTTACATCATAAATAACAAAATAAAGGAAACATTGTTGTATGCAGACCTTAAATGTAAATATCGTAAAATATAGTCGTTTATAAGTTAAGAGCAGAATTTTATTTATTTTTTTGCATCTTGACTCCCGAGATATTAGCAAGAAGAAGAGAGCTCATAAATAATTATTGTCAGATCGAATAATATCATTAATACCTCAACTTATAAAAGGACCATATTTATTTATTTAATTTTTTTAAGTATGCATACAACAGTTTGTATTTTGTTATGATTTTGCTAATGTCATTAATTTTGATTGCCTTTACAGTTGGAGGGGAAGCAAAACAAGGTAGTACGTTCCTCACAGACCTTCTTTAAGCAACTGCAAGAGGATGCTACTAAAAAGATGAAAGAGAAGAGGAATGAAGGTCACAGTAAGAAAAATAAAAGAACAGAAAACAAGTCTGCATCCAAATATTTACTATAGAATAGCTGCAAATTCTTTGGTATGATTTTTTTGTAATTTATTTCTATATGCTAATAAAGTGGATACTTCAAGATGCAATAAATTTTGTAAAGTAAATCTTAAACACTTTCTTTCATCGCAATGTATTGGAATGACCTTGTTCGTGTGACTGTGTTTCTGCACCATCGCCAAGAAGGAAATGAAGCACATTTAAGCCTTACCCGTGCCAAATCTACTCTATTGGCATGGTTAAACTCTGGATGGTAGACATTCTGAACTGAACTCTTTTAAAGTCAGTGAGGGCATTGTCATAAAAACTTAGAAAATTTAATTTTTCATGGTAACACAGGACGTCACAAAATATGTTTACATGAATCACAGATTAAATATGCTAAGGGAAGTAACTGTTGAGATCCTTTGGGGGTTCCACGTAATTTTTTTTTACTTTGATAGATTAAAGGTCAAGGTCACAATGGCCAAGCCAGTAAATAAAAGCCAAAGGAAAGTCTTAACACAGTCACCATCTTCATATACTCCCTGGTTCACCATAGTAATGAAGACCAGCTGGGACACCGATTCCCTAGCAATGCTCCCCACCCACTACACTCTGTGCTATCCTCCCATTACGTGCTTGCCTTTAGGACAATTACTTCTTTTACTTTTTTTTCACAATATGTATTTAGGATGGTGTGTGCATGTAACTGAGTAAAAGTAAATGAAGAAAGTTGTGTATATCTACCCGAAATTACGAGTTGAAAAACAACCAAAACACAACACAGCTTTGCCCAGAGTGAGGAGTCTAACCTGGCTACAATGCCATGATTAATCACTAATAAGCACTATTATACAGTAAGTCCCCATTGAACGAAAGGGTTAGGTTCCAATAAAATGCCTTCGTTAGGTGGATTATGTTCATTGAAACCATTTTTCCCATATAAATTAATGCAGTAAGGAGGATGTGTTCCTATACTAAGCTGTGTCAAAATAATTGCAACACATCAAAATACTGAAGATAAAAACAATAAAACATAAAGGTAACATAAACAGAGTTGACAATTGTTGTTTGTGGGAATATTAATTCATTCACTCTCGTAATATTTCTCATTATATCGTAGGAAAATGCCTGGTTTATATAATTTGTTTATCACTGAGCCCGTCACCATTTTCAAATTAGACTATATACAAGATATGTATTTCTCCCATACGTAGGCCTGGTAAGGGGAGCGAGTGACTGCTAGTTAGCGCGTCATCTGCAGCTGTAACTCTCCTCGCTCTCTGCCACATTTCACTGGATTTACTTTATTATTAGTATTTACTGATAGAATAGTGCGCAATAGTGATTAACGATGGCATTTTAGCTAATGGGCCAAGCTGTGAGGTACCTCCCAATTTGTTTCTGTTACTATGGGGAAGCAGGGAGTGTACGTAAATGGCGACATATTAAACTTTCATTTGGCTTTTATTTACTGGTTTAGCAATACAGTATTTTTTTGTACAATATTGTATCATGAATTATAGTCATAGTAGAATAAGAGAGGCAAAGTGCCGGTGAGATGCTGGGGTGGGTGAGAGGGAGGGAGGAGGTGGTGGTGGTGAGTAGATGATGTGTCAGTTGGTTTCTTTGGTAACACTGGCTGCAGCACTGCCTGACACTTGAACAGCTGATGTCTACCCACAAAATTGAGTGTTAGTACAAATGAACCTCATATTCCTTCTAAATTATGTTACATAAATTTTAAATTATGGAATGAGAATAACAAATAAACAATGTACAGTAATATCATGAATGACAGTCATAGAATGAGCGAGAGAGGCACTGTCAGTGAGAGCAGAGGGAGGGAGGTGAAATTATGATTTAGGTGGTGGTAATAGAGGTAGTGGTGGTGATGGTGGTGATCATTGAGCTGGTGGTGAGAAAGCAGAATGGTGGGGGTGACTTGCCTTTCATAATAGTAGAACATTCTTTCGTTAATTGGGAAATGGGTAGTAAAAACTTTCTTTTGTTATAGTGAGGATTCGTCCAAAGGATTAATGTTCACTGGGGACTTAATATATTTGTAAACACTAACAATAACAGTAAATCCAGTGAAATATGTTAGGGAGGGAGGAGAGTTACAAGAACAGAAGACGCTCAACTAGTTGTCATTTGACCCACTCACTCCCCTTACTTGCATCTGTTGCCAGGCGTATGATCGAAATACATATAGGAGAAATTGGAGCCACTTGTCCGCTAAATAAAAAATTTCCGCTAAATCGACCTTTCCGTTATGTTCACACAATTTACGGAACAGTATTTCACTAAATTGAGAGTGATTCCGTTAAATCCATGGGGTTTGTTTAAATCCCCTCATTCTGTGTCCTGCTGCCACTGCATGTGTTGTTCACTGCTCTTGTAACTCTCCTCCCTCCCTGCCATATTTCACTGGATTTACTGTTATTATTAGTGTTTTCTGGTACAGTATTATAGTTGATCATGTCGATCAGGAATGCACGTAGGGTGTTTAATTATTTGTTCCAGATCATTATGTAAGGAAAAAGAGATTGCCTCAGTTCCACCTGGATCATCCCTTGCAGAGCCAAGCTACTCTCTGTGATGTACATTGAAATCCCCTAGGTAAAGGATCTCCGTGTTGGGGGTGTGTGGATAGCAACGACTCATGGCAAGAAGTGAGATACTCAGAGTTCTAAATAGTTGGTAGAGTTGGGAGAACAGTATAGGAAACAAAGGAAAACAGTCATAGTTGTTAGAGATATTTTGAGCCAGATGACATCATAAAGGGAAGATTCAAGATCCGTGAGTTGAGCTATAGGTGTACGTGTGTTGCAGTCGGTGCATACAACTCCCTTAAAACGGAAAGAGGTAGAAAGGTTGTAGTTGGAGACTTGAAAAGGTTTGGGTGAAGCTGCTTTGATCAGTTGAAGTTCAGATAGTAGTAAGAGGTTAATACTGTAGGTGGTGCTCCACAGAAGGAAAATTGGATCTCAGGCCGCGAATGTTGGAAAAATGAAGTGTATAAAAAGCCGATCCTCCAGCAACTGCGGTGACATCAGTTGAGGCCCCAGTAATTTGATGATGATCAGGTCGGCCCTGGGATCCACAACCTTCCCGACGAGTGGGACCTATCCGAGAAGGACCCACTTCAATATTATTGTCGACTGACATCATAGGAGAATAGAAAGAATAGAACAGATCAAGAGTGAGTATGGTTATATATGTTGTGTTGTCAATAGTAAGAGAGACAATTGAGACCCTGCAATTGTGTGTAAATGAGGCAGAGAGACAGATCAGCAACCTGAGACTTGGTCACAATTTTTGTGATGCCATATGGCAGCAGGGTCTACCATTAGACAATACATTATGCTTCCAATATCTTCCCAGGCGGTAGTACCTCTCTGTTTGAGAATGCATAATCCAAGGGTAAATGTAAAAAGTATGTGCAGTACAAGTAACTGGTAACAGTTAGGCATGTAAAAGTGCAAATAAATACAGTACAGTGGTCCCTCGGTTAACGAACACAATTCGTTCCAGAAGATCGTTCGTTAACCGAAAATTTTGTTAACCGAATGCATTGTTTCAATGGGATATTGGGTAATTGGTTCCAGCTCACCGAAAAGTACATACAAAGTAAAAAAAAATGCATTAAAGTACACTTACTTTGAGGTGTGTATGTAGAGGGCTCCTGGTTGATGATGATGATGGGAATTAGCAGTGGGGGTGGAGGAAAATGGAGAAGAGAAGGAAGTGGGGATGGAGGAGAAATCACCTTTCAGGGGGACTCATGCTTGACCCCACATTTCACCAATAAAATTTTAAGTTCACTGGGTGTCATTCAAGAATATTTTCTTTAAATCAACACTGCACTATATATTATCAATATGTTAACTAAAGTTCAGAATGACCATTAATTTCAATGAAAAATGCAAAAATATTCAAGACACCAACAAAATAGATGCTCTCTTGACAGTAAACAAAGCCAGACTGAACCTGTACTGCATGTATTATCAATATGTTAAATTAATGTTAAAATGACTAATAATTTTAATATAAAACATTAAAAAATATTAAATATCACAACTTTATTGATATTTACTCCATTGGAAACGAATGTAAACATAGAACAGAATACTGAATTGGCTGAGTACTATACTGTACCCCCTCAGCTAATGCTCAAAACAACAACACATGATGTTAGTTCCCTGTACTGCATGTATTTTCAATATGTTAAATAAATTTTAAAATGACTAATAATTTTAATATAAAGCATTAAAAAATATTAAATAGCTTAACTTTCTTGATATTTACTCCATTGGAAACGAATGTAAACATAGAACAGATTATTGAATTGGTAGACTGGGCCATCAGCTGATGCTCACAACAAAACGTGATTTTTGTAAGGATTTCGTTAATCAATTTTTTTTTCGTTAACTGAATTGAAGATTCTTATGGAAGGTAATTCGTTAACCGAAATTTCGTTAGCCGAGGGACCACTGTACTTGTATACAGTATGTTATTTCCTTGAATGTAGATCCAAAGTTTTGGTGCCCTCCACTATATTTACAAGGATAAATGTGGCCCAGAGCCTACAAAAGGTTGGGGACCACTGGTGTAAGGAGGGCTGGGAGTGTTGCTAGGGTATTAGCGTCACAGCTGGTCTTCGTTACTATAGTGAAACAGGGAGTGTATACAATGGCGACTGTGTTAAATTTTCATTTGGGTTTTATTTACTGATTTGGCAAAACTGTACTGTATAGTATTTTTTGTTGATATTATTTGTATTTATTCCTCACATTTCCTGGTACAGTGCTGTATATATTCCCACAAACAACAATTGACAACTGGTTATGTTTCTACTTCCTTGGGCAGCTGTGTCCAGCACAACTGACTGGTTAATCAGCACCCACGAGCCTAATATGTACTTTGCTCTGTTTTGGGAATGCATCCTAGGGAGGCTTCTTAGCCCAGAAAATCCAAATTTTTGGTCTGAATCTTCCAAAATCTGGATTTACCGGGTCCGGATCTTTGAGAGTTGTTAAAGGTGCATTGAAAGAAACTTTTACAGTAAACTGTACATTTTCCTTTATTTTTGTACAGTATTTATGCCTCTGAAATTTCCTAAAATAGGATTGTCATTTCCCTATTAAAAAAAAAATAACAATGAATTTGGTCCACACCTCCTTTATTAGAATGGGATTTTACTGTACCATACATACTGTATTTCCTTTATTTTCCTTCAAGAGTTGGGTCATAATGAAAGAGCAATGGAAGGCCAAATAATTTCATTGTTTCTTCCTTTTCCATGTTGATACATTGAAAATACATCTCTTGACATAGATACAAGCTCAGCTGTTCCTATTCTTTAGCTATACCATGGTCAAAATAAACTTTGTGTACTATTACTTTCTTTATCACTCAGTCTCTGGCTGGTTTGGAAATAAAAAAGTAATTGCAGTACGTACATTACACATTGGGAGATAAATGTAGAGGATTAACAGCTAATCGTTTGGACTGAATCTTAATTTTCGTTTTTACTAATACAGGTATATAGGATTTTTAATTCGTATTTAGAATATTGTTTCTTATTTGCAAACAAGGAAAATGGCTGTATTGAATCTTGCTCAGAAGAGTTAGATTGTATATCACAGCCACTGAAAATTATGCAAAGATTTATAGGTAGACATATATCATTAACATCAATGGGTAGCTTCAAATATTTCTATTAGTTCTGCAAAACAAACTATAATCTCGTGCAAGTACTTCATATGATATAGCAAACTTATTTAAGGATACACTAGGTACAGAGACCACATGATGAAGCTTGTATCAATTATAATGTAATTCATGGCATGCTTACAACTTAACATTTTCATTATAAAAGAGGGCTGTATTTGGGTAGGACTGAAGTTAAGAGATGCTATGTGATGATGTCAGGTCATACTCAGTAATAATACTTAGGGTTGTGCTTCTGGCTTTGTACATCTGAAGTGTCTGTGTCCTACAACAGATTGCAGTACACACTCATTTGTAACTACTGCCTGGTACCTCATCCCTGCTGATGGCAAAAGCACACTTCTTGTCCTTGTGTCATTTTTGGAGATTGGTTATACTCGGACTTACATTTGTATGCAGTTACCATTCTTGTAGCATTCAGTATGGTATTATTATTATTTTATCAGCAGTAATGATCATCAGGTCTGATTGAATTCACTTCTGATTCAGATGACAATAAAGGTCCTAAAACATCTTGTAACTACCCCTATACTACAAGGAGGTGCTGAGGTCCAGTCTGAGATGCTCTAGCCAAACACAGCCCACTGTTATGCATGAAGGAGTGTGCATCCTTTCTTAGAACTCTGAGAAGCCTCCCTGATTGGCATTAGATCTGAAAAAATATATGTAAAAAGCCCTAGATATATTCTTATTTCAAAAATTCCCTTTTCTTGTGAATGTAGAAATGAAGGATAATATCGGACAAGTATTGTGAAAATACTGATATAAGAGGGTGACTAGAGGTAGCACTGAATGGGCTTTACTAGGGCCAACGAGTGAGGTTCCTCAGAGTGATACATCCACTCTTCACAGACTCTCAAATATTGTTCCTTCTTCAGTAATGGATTTAAACAACTTATCAAGTTCAGCTCTTATATATTTTATTTTCTTTACAGACTGCCTTAGCCAATTTCTAAATTTTCCTCTCAACTGGTGTTGCATGTGGACTTGTATTCCTAAAACTTATATGCAAGTACATACCTGTACTGCTTTTTTATTATAGGCCATCTTTCAAAATGAAATAATTGTAGTTAATTATTTCTTGCATTGCCATGGTGATTCACTTATATTTTGAAACATTATAGCCAGGATTAACTTTTCTTTTCTAAACTATTAACCTTTTCTGCTTTCCTTCATGTGTATGTACAGGGTATTTAGAGTTGTATTCTTAGTCTTCTCTTATTCATCTATTATTATAGTTACTTGGCATGAACACAGATGCTGCTGATTAAATGAAGAAAGAAAATTAAAATTTCATGGAGAATAGAGAAATAATTTTCCTGTATAAGATAATTTAAGAAAATCAATAGAATTATGCCAAGATTGAATTACAAGGAGGACAATGTGCATGAACCATAATACAGTACAGTATATGTGGTCTTAAGGAAATATATATAGTAACCTATCTTCCATCTTTGAACATAATTTCTGTGTATATACTGCACCTGCAAAATAATTGGATCAATTTATCTGGTTGAACAATACTAAGAGCCTGAGAAGAGTGTTAGGAGTAAAATTGTTCATGCACATAACAAAGAGGTTGTTCCTCCAAATATATACTGTATAGGTCTTGCATGTTTTTTATTTTTTATACTGTACTAACTATTTCACCACCAGACTGAGAGGGATAGATGTGGGCCTTGATTATACAGGAGGATGCAGTAGACTACAGGAGAAAAAGAGTACGTGTGAGGCAATCAACCAGTTTGAGACATAGAGAATTTAATCTTTTTTAACATAATTCTTACTGAGAATATTAATATGAAAGGTGTCAGTAGGTCATCTATGGCTCACAAAGGTAAATGAGGTCACATGAATAGATATTACTAGGTTCAAGGGACTACGGGATGGCAGCAAGATATATTATAACATAAACACCATTGGAGACATTGACAAGAAAATTTCATGGGACCACAGAGACTAGCCTAATATGTCAACATTAGCGCAGTCACAGCTACACACTCTTGTCACCCTCATTCGTTTCGTCTGAAGAGCTACCCAAGTTATTGTTTCATATTCATTACAATGGTTGTTTTGAAGTATTGCAATAATTAAGCTTGTGGATGGTAATTATTTCATAGTTAACCATTACTTTGTGATTTGCATTGAAGAAATTTTATAATCATGAGTTATAAAAAATTTCTTATAATATGCAAGTGCTGAATGTTCATGCAACTTAGTGGTAGAAGGACTTGAGTATAAAACTTGAGTGTTAATTTATTTGCTGGGAGAAAATCACAAGCATATGTCTGAACTTAAAAAATGCTCTAAAAACAAATCTTACACACACTGATGCTAGTTACAGAACCTGGTTATACTCTGAAAGTAAATATACAGTGATTTCAGAAAGAGAGCCTGTTAAACACTCCTACACTGGGAAAACAGTTGAAGATTCCTATATTTTATAATTCTAACCATTAACTTTTCTATACTATATGGGTCATTCCCTATCTGATTACCACACTAAACTGCAGTATTTGACATTAAAAATCTTAAAATTTCTTTAAACTTGGTAGATTTGTTCACTTTAATGAACAGGCCCAACAGCCCAAATTTTAGCTTCTATGAAGCTTATAAGTAGGAAGGTGAACTCTCTTGGTAGGCAAGAAAACTACCAAATTTCAAGAAAAACGGAGACTGTCATGACGGATGGGTGTGATGATTTGACAAGGAATGTCCTATATGAGAGTATGTAATTATAGGTTTTTAAAATATTACAGAATTTCAACCTCTGTTTCTATGATAGTACAATATCCTAACACTTGTTGATATATATATATATATATATAGGATCCAGAAATCTGATCCTAGGGTTTGACAGGATTAGGGTGTCTGATACACGACTTTTGAAAGAATAAAAGAAAAAAAATAGTTGGTACAGATGGCACAAATAACAATTCCCAGGCTAGTGGGGGCTCCACTGGAGTAGGGCTGGGATCTAATTCAGTGGGGCCAGACACAACTAGGGTTGCGGGGAGTTGTTACTTTCCCATTAGGAAACTCAAATCTGCTCCAACACATTTCATACCGCATGGAAATCACTGTGGTTGCATTTATTATTCATCAGGGCTGTTTTAACTGCAAGGTTTTAGATGTAATTGTACTTGCAGTTATATATATTACTTCTATCCATGTTAGAACTAGATATTGTACTACAGTGTTTTTTAATAACCAAATTTTTTTTCAACATGTTAATTGGTTCTCATTTTTAGTTTAAGTGAACCTTTGTTACCTACATCTTCTTCTTATCTTCATGAGCCTTCTTGACTATAGCCAATTTTGAGTGAGGGTCCTTGACTGGAAGATGGTCGTATGGTGCCTCTCGAGTTCCATGAAGCATGAGTGTCCACTCCTTGATCCATCCTTCATCGGGTCCCACACTGTTGATGCGAGCCTGCATATACAGAAAAGGTCAGTCATTATGATTGAACACAGTGAACAGACAATTTAGTGTTTCTGGAATTCAAGGTGACTAAATTGTTAGCGGTATGTGCATGTTCTGCCAATGCTGTCTATATTGGCTTAAAAAATTTAACATCTGCTTTAAATGATAAGGTATGACAGGTACTTATTACAGTATATTACTTAGCAATTAATTTGTCTTCTTAAGATTTTACTTAATTATTAAAACTTGTGAAAGATGTCTATAATTTTGTATGCAATTGTATTATTAAATAACCTCTTTGGTTGATGGTTGTGCTATCTAGCCATTATACAGTACTTCTAATCTCCTAGATGCATCTCAAACCCTCAGGCATTTTCATATCAGGCTTTGACACCTGTACACCCTAGCACCACTTTCCATTTATACACTCATTGTTTCTGAACCCTGAATATTTTTCCCTTATTTCTGCAACTGAAGGTTGAGTATCCTTTATCTGAAATGCTTGGGGCCTTAAGGGTCTCAAATTTGGGATATTTTCGGATTTTGGAATACCTGTATCTTGTGTACAGAACCTGTATAATAGGGTAGCTCACCCAGCAGGGATGGGGCCCAAGTCCATGTACAAAATTCATTTATATTTAATTTACAGCATATGTATACATAATATTGTACAGGTAGTTTTATGAAATATAATTTAATAATTTGGCATTGCTATAATGCCTGACTCTGAGGCACTAAGCAGCCTGTGTCTTACCTTTATTCATTACACATACATACTTACCCTTGTAAAAATTATGATATATGTCATATTCAGTGTACAATATAATTATCTATCATAAGTATAGTGAAATAGACTTTCGGATTTCAGAGCATTTCAGATTTGGGAATTTTTTTTAAGGGATACCCAACTTGTATTCCATACAGAATACAATTTTCCACATGCTTCAGTGCTCTTACTCAAAGTAAAACTACTAAAATTTCAATTCAATAAGATCTTGCATGAATTTGAAGGTACCAAATTGATATTTATTCCCCCTCAACTACTTACTTCCAACCTCCAAGTACCCCTGGGGTTTTCAGCCCAGGTATGAGTTGTCATGAATGGCCATTTTGTGAAACCATCTCGGCCATCATCATCATTTGGGCGCTTACTTAGGATCATTGATCTGAAAGAACCAAATATGAAATCAAAGTGCTGGTCATAGAGAAAATCAGTTCCTTGTATATTTACATGCACAAAAGTTGGGTTATGCTGTCTTAAATTTTGATCACATCAAGGTGCCACCAAACACCACCTCCCTCAAGCAGCCAATGAACCAGGGAGTCCTTACCACTTTTCAGGTCTATTACAGGCAGTAAGGGTACTGAAGGTGATAATAGTGTAATACTCAAACAGTTTAGAAAGGAATACAACATTTACTAAGCCATCAAGAACATTGATGCTTCCTAGTGAGGAGTCAAATCCACCACCATGAATGGCATATGGAAACCATGCTGCTCAAATTTCACCAACAACTTCAAGGGTTTTGAAGAAACTGTGGAGAATGTGGCTGACAAGTTGGTACAGACAGGTAGGCAGCTGGAGTTGGAAGCCGAGAAAAAGGATGCCCGAGAACAGTTGGAGTGCCACTTGCAGGAACTAACCGATGGGGACTTGATGGAGCTTGAATCCCACAGTGTAGGATGAGCCTGAAGAAGCAGCGGTCACTGAGGTTCTCCTGCAAGGATCTGGCTACTACTTTAGCCTTAAATGAGAGCAGTCAGGCTCCAAGGTTCACAAAAATGGTAGCAGCTGTGCAGGATGCCCTTGCCTGCTACAAGGTAATACAGTATTTGAAGAAAAGAAGACGGCCACAATTCAGATTTCTCTTGACGAATTCTTCAAAAAGTAGAAAGACCAACAGAGCCAGATCATCCAGTGCCATCATCAGCATCAAACCCAGATGATCCTCCTCCATCACCACTGCCCACTCCATCCTTCAACTAACTCCATCATTCCTGCAAGCATTACCCATCCCAGCTAACACAGTACTGTATGTATCGTTAAAAGTCTTTATGTATTACTACAATAATGTATACTGTATTCTTTAATAATTCATATTTTGCAATACAGAAAAATATGTCTGGGGTTTACAAGAGTAAACTGGGCCTACAAACAAATGGGCTTATGAACATGGTCCAGGAACATAAGTCTTTCGTAAGTAGAGGACTGACTGTAGTGTGTTTAACTTACATAAATTCATTGTAGTGTACAGTGCATATAGTACCTGTACATGTCTAGGGCAAACAATACAGGTGTCCCTCGCTATGCGAACGTTCAAAATATGAAAATTAGCTTAAAGGAATTTCCTAAATTAACACCTCTTTTTCATTTAATGAAAGCTTCCCCCATTTTTACAAATTTTTGTCCAGGCAAAAATTTAAATCGCGCATCCCCAGGAGTCGGCTGGGACAGCTACATTCCCTTAGCTCTTTCACTACCTGGCTGAGGTGTGAGCTATGTTATGGTTATTTTTCCACTCATAATTTCAGGTAAATATTCAAAATTTTCTTCATATTTTTTTATTCAGTTACATGCATGCACAATCTTATGCAGGCAGTCCCCGAGTCACGACCGTCCGACTTACGATCATCCGCACTTACGAGTGGAATCCCAAAACATTCATTGCAAAATTTGTAATTAAAATTCAATTTTTTTACATTTTCATTATTCTATATTGTTTAACATCACTTTATTTACAGTATTGTATTTACATTATTTGTTATGTATTGGATACTATTTTTGTGTTGTTGTGTATGGGCTTTAACCGAACCTAACCTAACCAATGGAATTAAAACCGTTCTGATTTACGAACAACTCGACTTATCAGGGTCCAGGAACATATCCCTGCCGTACGTCAGGGACTGCCTGTATACAAAATGTGTAAAAAGAAAATTATCGACACTGGCAGATTGTTCCACGAGTTCACAACTCTCACTCCAAAAAAGTTTGCCCTCACAGTTTTCTGGGCTTGTGGCTTCTTCAACCTTGACCTGTGACCCCTTGTGGGGCGAGCATCTGCCAGCTCCAGGTAAGGACACTTGACTGAGCAGTGCCCTTTGAGATGCTTGTACAACTCAATTAGATCCCCCCTTGCCCGTCTGTAGCATTAGCTAGGCAATTTCAGGCGCTCTAATCTCTCCGGGTAGTTGAGGTGCTGCAGTGCAGGAACCAGTCTGGTGGCCCTCCTTTGGACATTTTCAATCAACTGACAGTCCCTAGCATATCTTGGGGACCAGACAGGGTGACAGTACTCCAGACGGGGAAGCACATCACTCTTGAAGATCGTTACGAGGGACGGACTGTCTAGAAATCTGACCGACCTTCTTATAAGACCTAATAATTTAGTTGTCTGGTTTACCTTATTCTTGCAATGGCCCGAGAACTTCAGCTCATTGTCAACGTACACACCTAGGTCCTTCTCACATTCAGTCTCATTTAATGCAGTTTCTTTGTCCTGTTGGGACATATGATATGCCTCCTTACCATTGGTATGTCCCAGGTGCAGCCTCTTACACTTCATGACATTGAATCTTAGCAGCCATTTCTTCGACCATACTTGATGCTCACAGAGATCCTTTTGCAGCTCTTCACAGTCTGCTTGGTTCTTAATTTCCCGAAATAACTTGGTGTCATCCGCAGACATTTGTATGGAGGAATGTACAGCTTCAGGCATGTCATTTATAAAGCAAACAAACAACAGCAAGCCCAATACACTGCCCTGTGGTACCCCTCTTGTGACGGGTACACATGATGATTTCGTGCCATTAATTACCACTCACTGCTTGCGGTCATGGAGAAAGTCTCCAATCCACACTAGGATATTTCCTCGAATCCCTTACCCTTCCAGTTTAATTTTCAGTCTTTCATGGGGTATACTCTTGAAAGCCTTGCTAAATCTAGGTAAATATTGTCGATATTACCACCCTGTTCCAGAATTTGGGTCCAAATATCCAGTACCTTGAGTTAAGCTGGAGTGCCCCGGCATAAAACCGTGTTAGCAATCATTTATAAGGTTGTTTTGTAGTAGATGTTCCATCATGGCATCTCTTATAATGCTCTCAAGTACTTTACATACTATGCTGGTTAGGTTCACCAGTCTATAGTTATTCGTGGAGTGATGATTGCCCTTCTTGAAGATAGGACTCACATAAACCATTTTCCAATCACTGGGGACCTTTTGCTCATCCAGGCATTTACTGAACAGGATCTTCAGGGGCTCAGCTAGCTCGTTGCACAGCTCCCTTAGCACTGTGGGATGCACCATGTCTGGAACGGGACTCTTATGAACCTTTGGCTTTGATAGTTTAGTTCTTATAACCTCTTCTGTGAACACAATGTGGGTCAGTTCTGTGTCATACCGTCTGTCCTCAAACACAGGATGATTGTTCGCATCCTCTCTTGTGAACACCGAGGAGAAGAAGCTGTTCAATGCCTCAGCTTTGTCCTGGTCAGTATCTGCATAGCTACCATCTTCAAGCCTCAGGTCAAAAAAACATAAAAGGGAATAAACTTTTCTTCAAACTCCACCGAGAGTTAGCAGGCTGGGCTGGGGAGGTATACTGTATTGTGGTTATTTTTCAACTTGTAATTTTAGGTAATTAAACTTAACTTTCTTCACTTTTTTTATTCAGTTGCATACATAATTTGCAAAAATAGTAAAAGATGTAACTATCACAAGGTCAAATACATTAAGGAAATAAAAAAATTTTTGCATGTGAGAGTGGGAGGAAGGAACAGAGTGTGGGTCAGTTGAGGCATCATCCCAGCTGGGCTGCTTTGTTATGCCGAGGCTAAAGGCCACGCAGCCCATGGATGCAGGGAGGGGTGCTGTGGTTGCCGCAGCACCCCAATATTTTTGGTATAAGGTGCTATGCATTGCACCATAGACTATCTAGTAGACCAGAATTAATATTCAGCACCCCTGGTAAAATTTGGTTCCCACAGTACTGATACAGCCAGCATCCAAGCTTTTCCTTAATGGTTTTAGCTGCATATTTTCATCTTGATAGTATATTATTAATGTTTTTAATGTGTTAGGTCATAAATTATGGTAGTTGAGAACTATTTATAATATTAGTTGGGTTGGTTTTTGTTTGAGTGAGCCAATTTCATGTTCTTGGGGGTATGATATTGGGGTTTCTAGTCGTTGGGAAACCGAACCCTTTTTTTTCCCCATATGTTTTGTTATTTGAGATATGACAATTCATTGCCTTTGCTCTGTTTTTGTGACTGTGAAGTGAGCATCCATGTCTCCGAGGTGAAGCAGCACGAGACTCCCCAGAGGCTGTATGGGAGTGACATCACTCCACCTACATCACTCCACCCATGACCATAAGAATATCTTAATATTACCATTTCACAAAAATTTCTCACACATTCCTGCACAGCTAAAAACCTGGAACGTCAATGTGGCATTTAAAAACTCATGCACTGTTAAACAAATGTTAATCAAGAACTCCCCCAACAACACAATTGGTTGCATTTATAAAGTTCCTTGCAAGGAATGTAATATGTTTTACTTAGGCCAGACAGGTAAAGATCTTGCAACTAGAATTAAACAACACAAATACAGTGTTAGGACAGGCCAGGAATCCAATGCTCTGTTTGTTCATTTGAGGGATAACAAGCATTGCATTGACTGGGATAATGCCTCCTCAATATTACCATGTAATTCAATTGATAGTAGGAACATCATAGAATCTAGTCTTATTAAACATACCGAAGCATTCAACATGAATTTGAGTAACGGCATGTACAAGCTGGACAATTTTGTAATTAAGAAGATTTGTGATCAGGTGAGAAGGCCGGGTCACTTGATCATCTGACCTGACCACCAACCGTTGTGTGCTATTTAAAGATTAGTAGGGTCATTACCTAATACCTGACCATTGTGGACCTGGTCTCACCCTCCTCTGTATATATACACCTTGATTTATTACTCTCTCTAGTCTGTACTCACCCTGAAGATGTGAATTACACGCGCTTGGGAACTGTGTTTTCTTCTTTCCTTGTGGTTATCAGCATATACCTAGATCACGCACAGTGATTTACTTGCATATATATATATATATATATATATATATATATATATATATATATATATATATATATATATATATATATATATATATATATATATATATATATATATATATATATATATGTATATATATATATATATATATATATATATATATATATATATGTATATATATATATATATATATATATATATATATATATATATATATATGTATATATATATATATATATATGTATATATATATATATATATATATATATATATATATATATATATATATATATATATATATATATATATATATATATATATATATATATATATATATATATATAGACAGATTTTTGAGACTGGGAATCTTCCTAGTTGAGGACAGGTCCAATCTAGGGAGGGTGCAGTATATTTACTTGGTGAAATAATATGATTAAAATGAAACTGAATACCATTAAAGACTCACTTTGTTCCCATTGGAGACATGAGGAAGAGCTCAACATCTCCACGCCTGGTTGCATTAAGGGTGATGACTGCCTGGACATGCTCAAGGTAATTGACTTCAGTGTCTGTACCAGTACATGCATCTGTCTCTATCTCCAACACCACTGATTTGTTGACCGATATCATTCTGTTAGGATAAAATACTGTTAAGTACTGTAATTTTCTTTGAGTGACAGAATTTATATAAAAGTTACTAATACATGAGGAAGTGATGTAACAGTGAGGGAGGTCATTCTGTGGAGGTGGAAACCAAAGTGAGACGAGGTTATCCAGGAGAGAATGATAGAGAGATGTAATAATGGCATCTTGGGGAAGAAGGTTGTGTTATATAGGAGACCTTTATATATCATGGAGTTTAGTTTCAGAGAAGTTCATGAAAGCTAAAATTGCAATGCTTAAAACTTTATCTGAACAATGGAGCTAGGTTTCTGGACTCTGTATCTTGTGGATCATCATTTGATTAAGCCTGATAGCAGTGGTGGTGCTACTGTCAAGCCTTTTATAAAGCTTAAAATGGCTGCTTGCTTTGCTTTATTTAGTGCGTCCCTGTAGATCTTTTTATAGGGCACCATACTGGACTCCAACACCCTTTTAAATTTAATGCTTCACTCCATGAAAGGGTCACATTGTCAAATACTTTGTCCATATGCAGCCCCTCTGCCAGTATTTTGGATGTTTGTGCTTTTGGCACCATCACCTGTTCCAGATCTTCCTGTTAAATTCTCTTGGTAGTATAGAAAAAGTTATTCTATCTCATGCACCTGCATATCCTTAAATTCTTTCACAAATTGTTTGACTTCACCTTCCATCAAAGTGAATCCCTGAAAGTCAATCATTGTTTCACTCTATAATTTCCTCTAACACAGTTTCTAATAATATTATTAATACATTCAACAATTGCATAATCTCTCCAGCCATAAATGACTGCCAAAGAAGGTTTGCTTTCCATCAGGTCAAGAATCAACTTGCATGTGCAGATGGTGTACTGTAGATTGACTTGAACATCATATGAGACCTTGGCCCATTGGCTGGAGGAGAGGTGTGGTAAAAACATAACCTCCAAGGTTGGTTGAGTGAACAAACTGAAGGCTTTTGAAGTGGCCAGGTGCATTATCCCAAGTCATTAGAACCTAGAATGCACGAGTGTTGAGGGCTCGATAAAAATGCACTGGCTTCGTGGCAGTGAATGGGGATCGAGGACTCGGTAGAAAAACAATGACTCTATGATACAGGTTCATGTAGCACTGCCACATAGCAGAAAGGGTTTTAGTCACCTTGACTCCTAGAGCAATATTTTCTTACTTGGAAGGAATTATTTTCCAAATAAACCCAAATTAAGAGAAGGATTCACTTGGTCAAATGGTTTGGTTGTAGCAAAGAAAACACAAGGTCAGAGACAACTTTCTTCCTGACATTTTGTCACAAAGGACTTTCATGATGAAACATCAGGAATAAAGTTGTCTCTCTGATTCTGTTTTTCCTTTTCTATTACATAACCATTAGTCCTGTTTCATGGGTGTTGAAGCCTTGTTCTTGTTTATATCCTTTCTTCTTGATAGGTTTATTCAACTGTGATGGGTAATTTTCTGTGGCACAATAGACTGCCTGATAACTTTTTATTATGGAGGCTGTATCTATTCTTATTATTCTCAAACCAGGCAGGGTAGGCAGATAATCCCAGATTACCTCAGTGAGTTGCAGCCCTGCCTAGCCAGCTGTTCCCACTCTATGGGTTGGCAATAGGAAGGGCACCAGCCATAAAACTTTGTTTCAACAAACCTGATGGCAACTGGGTCACCAAAGTTATGCCCATCCCTAGGTTTCTGCTACCTTTTCTGGACTAGTGCCCTGGGTTTACAGTGGTAAGCAGATGAGGGGTGGAGGGGTCATCTTGTTTTAGTTTTACCCAACAACTGCCTTCAGGTAATCATGGCTAACCCACACAGGCATGGAAAATTACTGTAAAACAGTGATGGTGTTAAGCTTTTACTGCCTTGACATATGTCGCTAGTCATAACTTTTTCTCTTAGTACTAGTCCATTCAGTGGCACATTTTTGTGTATTGTCCTCAATCCAAACAGAGAGGGCCTTTTCATTCTTTACAATAATAGGATCATAAGACTGCAGTGTCACTTAAGGACTCTGCATAGAACTTGCAGCAACACTTGTAGATATTTATCTCACTATTATGGATGTACTGCACAGTAATGTGTTTATCCCATAATGGTGTCCCACAGAGGCCATAGTTACTCCATGAGCTGACTGGTGCAACAGCTCAATATTCTCATTCAATCTCATTACATTTCGTTGCTTTTTTGTACCAGTATCACTTTTATCTACTATCTTACATTTACTCATATTGGAGTTACAATGAAGGTATACAACACAAGTTCAGCAAGTTCCTTTCACAGTAAAGGATAGCAAGCAACTGAGCACTGTGTGGTGTCACCATTGCCTCTCGTGCACATAAGAACCTACAAGATGTTCTGGAATGAGATTAATAACATGGTGAATGGTTCAAAATTATCCCCTGCAATATCTAAAATGGTGTACAGTACAGAAAAGTTACAGGTACCGACATGTAGTCAAAACTGTGAAATATAAAACTGGGATATTTAGGGGTCTCCTGTACTGAGCTTCAGATTGTGAAAGTGTATAGCATCAGCCTTCACAAATTTTCAATTTAAATAAAGCAACAGCCAAATTACACTTGGGATCTTGTAGAAGGGGAAAATCATGACTGAATGAAAGGGAATGTGTAAGTGTATTTGGTCTTGATTCCAAATGGCCTGCATTAAGTGGGAATTAGCTTAAAGCAAAAAATTAAAAATATAATATGGACAATACAGCTAATGACTAAACTTTTTAACATGTGTAAATAATAAAAAAAATATTAAATAATGAAACAAAAGATTAATGTTTTACAAGTGTTGAAGACTAACAAGTGCGGAAAGAAATAAAAAAATATGCTGTCACATGACAGTAATCATTTCCAATGTTCACACAGTATTAGTAAAAAGAATGGTGTGTTTTTGTGTGTGGAATTCTCATCTTGAAAGAAAAATATAACACAAGATAAAGAAAAAAAACTCACTTGGATGTGTGATAGACACCGGCCTGGCAGTGGTAGCGAGGAGGGACAGTTACCCAGTCTCGGGCCAGAGCGACCATGGCACCTGCATCCAATACTCCAAACCCAAACAGATGATTATACTCCAACCCAACTCCATTCATATGCCACGAGAACCTACGCTTGGCATCGTACAGTGAGTTACGCTTACTAGTGAGGACTGTCAGGTGTTGTATGTCTCGCCAGGTTAAGCTGGGGCTTTAGGGAAGAAAAGAAAAGAGAATATATATATATATATCAGCATATACCTGGATCATGCGCAACTACAGTAATTTACTTACATATATATATATATATATATATATATATATATATATATATATATATATATATATATATATATATATATATATATATATATATATATATATATATATATATATATATATATATATATATATATTATTTATATATATATATATATATATGACATCTGAAAACTATATGGTTTTCTAATATTTATTTCATCTTGAAGGAATATATATATATATATATATATATATATATATATATATATATATATATATATATATATATATATATATATATATATATATATATATATATATATATATATATTCCTTCAAGGTGAAAATAAATATTAAAAAACCATATAGTTTTCAGATATGTCTCAAAATACTTCTCCTGATTTGTATATTGTTGTACATTATTATAAGATCTAATTTTGATTACATTGTTAATAAGTTCAACATACAGTACAAGCATCCATGTAATGTTAAATGCAGTACATATTGAGATGTAAGTTTTATAGTTCATGTACTGATTATACCCACTGAGTCCATTTTCAAATATACAAGTGGATCCTATATCCCCAAAGGTAAACTAGCAAAATAATGAAATTTTATGGGGGATAAATATGGGGTATAACTAAACACCTTAGTGTAAAACATTTATGAAACATAACACCTGAGCTAGCACCAGACAACCTAAAGGGTTCATGCAAAATACTATTGTGAAAGTCAAATGTAAACATACCAAATCCCTTATGAAAAGGATTGAGATATTTAACATGATGACCTTCTTAAGTCTAGTTCTTCAATGGACCAAACTAGCAGCACAGATTCTGGTTATGGTTGACTATCATTATGGGTGAGGTCTGCTAATGCTGTCTCAGACCAAAAAAACCAATGTCAACATACTTTACTTAATGATATACATTATTTAAGCTATTAACAGTCTTACATTAATGAAAAATCAAGCACTGTGGTACTTCCTGTCTAAAGTCCCTGATAGTGTATAAAAATTAATCTGTGGATATCTAATATTGATGATATTTGGCTAGCAAACAAAAGATTGTGTATTAGTCCTTCGGTTGACAGAGCCATATATTTTAGTCCAAGGTGTGATAACTCGGACAGATAATATATGGCTTCTTGGCCTCTTTATCTTTCAAGGATAACTCTTGCGACTGATCTTCCCCATTTGGGCCATTAGCTGTGATAAGGAAATGCCTAAGTGGGGATGATTTATTTATCCAATTGAGTTATAATATCACCCTCTGAGCTCAATACAGTAATTGGGGCCTCGGGATCATCTAAGAACAGTGAATGCAGCCTGTGTTGTGAAAAGTTGCCTAGCAGAGGTAAAAATACAGAAGGCGATATATTTTCTAAGAATCTTTAGTTTTCCAATACTGTAATTAAGAAAGACTTACTTAGCCTCCAGGGCAAGAGCAAAGACTCCTGCAGCTTCTGGTGCAGCAGCAGAGGTGCCAGAGTGAGTCTTGGTGCACTTGCCATACAGATCTGTAGTAGCCTAGGGAGAGAGTATTATATGTTTCTGATTACTACTATTCTAAGTCACACCAGACCAAATATAAAGCATCATGAAACCCTCTAATGATACATACTACTGTTGTGAAATAAAGTGAAACCATGAAAAACCAAAATATAAAGTCCTCCACTTACACTTACTCTATTTCTGTTGAAAATTTGACAAATTACAAATAGATATAGAACAATGCCCAAATTATAAATTATTAAACTACAAATTCAGGTCATTTGTAATTGTGTTTAATATGTAGGGTATAAAATCATAAAGAACAATCATATCATTAATTAGTGTTCCAATTACAGTGAGGATGAAGGATAAAGATCACTTCAAAAATAATTACATGAGTTATCTCATTCCTTATATGTATTTTACATACAGTATATGTACAGTGCATAAACCCTGAGAGAGAACACACACTCACACACACACAATGCACACATGCAAACACACACACATGCATGCACGCACGCACTTATAATAAGTTGTGAATAACTAAAATATACCTGGGAAAAGTTAGTGGGAGTTTAGAGTGGAAGACCCAAAATTGTGAAAAATTACAATTTGGGATTACAGGATTATGTAAGTAAGGTGAACCAGTGGAAAATCTGAGGCAGTGTGACAGGCAGTTTTATGAGGTGGAGGTCCTTGATGAGCCATTCTACTTTAGTACATGAAAAAATGACTGATGACAGCCCGATTGACTTTTTTTTCTTTTATTTGTAGTCTGAATAGGTTATATAGTGTACAGTACAGTATTGCCTGTACTGTAATTCATGATTCTGTTATACAGTTCCATGTGAAAAACTTCCTTTAAATTAGGGCCAGTACAGTATTGTGATGCTGTAATTCACCAACTACATTCATTTTCATCTGTTCAATCTAATGCTAACAACTGCTGGTTGACTCACCACACCAGTGCTTGGGTCTTTGGCTCCGTTACTGAAGGTGGAGGCAAGTGTAGATGAGCAGGACTCGTCATAGTGAGCATTAGAGCCGTCATTGATGGCCGAGTTGATGGAGATGGTCCACATGGAGGCTGCATATCCGTCACAGTTACAATCGTCATCCTCACCGCCATCCCCGCTGGCCCACACATAGATGTTGCCCAATCCATTGCGACCCTGTTCCGGCACAGTCATGAAAAGCATTAATACTGGAGCAACTTATGGTAGTCATGGTGAATGTGATATTTCAGGCAAATGAACATAAAAGCAAGATGTGGATGGTAGTGGCAACAGTGTCTGGAAAAGGAATAAGATAACAGGAACTAATATTTGTGGTAACTTTAATGGCAGTCACAATTGTTATAACCAGAATATGATGCTAAATATTGATGGTAATGACAACCACAGCATTACTGTATGATTACATGAACTGTATGATGTGTTGATTATATATAGATTTTTTTATTATATACTGTACAGTACTTTGATGGAAAGACCAAAACTTTTCAAGTGGGGAAATACTTTGCTTGCCTTTAGAGAAGTAAGTATTTTTTCTGTCACAGCTACGGACCAATAGAATAAAACTGAAAAGTAGGAGTCACAACTTATACTTCCCTAAAAAAAATTCTTACATAAACATATCTATAACAAATTAGCTAAAATTTACTGACAAAGGAATTTAGGGCCTGAAATGGTTTATGGTGAGTTCAAGTTGGTTGGTTCTTTGGTTTTTATTTTATTTTCAATTTGCCACTTTGATGGGAAAAGGAAGCCTGTAGTTTATTTAATATCACCTTTGTTCCTGATTGTCCTTCAAGTGTCCAGTGTTTGTATATGAGAAAACTGGAGTACCTAAAGAAAACCTGTGTTTTGTAGGGTCAAACCCTTCTCACATCTGACCCAGACCAGAAATCAAGCCCAGGACACAAACATTACCACTTTCCGTTTAACTATTCAGGTCAGTTACAGTAAATAAACTCTTCAAACATTTAAGTGAGTTTAACAATGATGCTGATGCAGCAGAAAAAACTCTGGGAAGGGAAGGTAGAATAAATACTGTATGTGAGGATGGCAATCTGTGTATTTATGACTAATTACTGTAGCTGTATATTAATTTACTTATTTAGGAAAGTGTTGAGTTCACCATTTTTCTTCACAGGAGATATAAAAGCACTGAAGATTGATAATCACCTCATGCACATATCTGTGTATACTGTACTTGTACTGTATTATGAAGAATGAATATACAATTTGAATCTAAGCTTACTGGTGCTGTATATGATTGTATATCCCCTGTACTGTACTGTACTAGTGCAGTTCCCCCCCAAAAGTATCATTATCTATGGGGCTGATGTAGTTTATGGTTTTGTGAGCAGTATACTGGTATTAGTCCACTAGTTTCAGAATGGTTGGTACAGCCAGTCATAGGTATTATCTACTACGTGGATTAAATTACATATCTGGTATTATTTTCATTGCAGATATCTGCCAGAATGAAAAAAAACTAATTAAATACAGGTATTTATTCCTGCAGATATTTTATAAATACACATGTTGTGTATATTGAACACGCATACATACCAACATATGTGGATGCACTGGAGAATACTGTACTATCAAAGCATTTTGTCCAGTGTTCTAAATTGTAAAGATGGAACAAGTAACAATACTTTTCTGGGGGGGTTACACCTTTGTATATATCCGTACGTCTATGTATCTACAAGGATTTGTATACACGGTATGCATGACTGACTTTGCATGTGCATGAATAAATGCATTTTAACAATTACAAAATTCCTATATAATCTGAACAGACAAAACCTAACCTTACGTAACTAAACCTGAAAATTTTTCACCTAATCTAATCTACAAAGACCTGATCCAGCTTAAACCCACACACCTCATTGACGCCTCTGACAATGGCCTTCATAGTGGCGTTCCTGGGCCCATCTACCGTCTTGCCGTCATCAGTGGGTCCCCATGAAGCTGAGTAGATGTGAATCAGGTTGGGTTCCCGCCCCATACTGTTGGCTTCAATTAGATCTGTCATGTAGGGCTGATCAAGCATTCGGATACCTGGGGAAATGGATGAGGATCATTAGATGTCTAACCTTCACATATGAGTCTACAATCATTGCATTTACTTAATTATACTGCTAGGAAAGAGAAGAGCCTTGAGGAGGATAGCAAATAGTGTATATATCTGACCGGTGGAAGCAAGGTTGATGTAAACATATTATGGTACTCTACATTCCTATTAAATTATGAAGAGAATCAAGTTTGTATTCAAAATAACAGCCATCATCAACAAAGAATGACATCAAATTAGACTTCGCTGAAGACTAACCTGCAACCAAGGAGTTATAGGCAACGCCAACCCCACACACACCGTTGTCCCGTGCGGCTGAGACTTCCCCAGCACACCGCGTCCCATGGCTGGTGGTCATGACCAATTTTATGTTAAAATTTAAATTTCAGGCATATATGTTACAGGGAATCTCCATAAATATGGATTTCACATAAAGTAGTCCCAAACATTTTCAGGAATTTCTAATCACTCTGACTGTTAGCTAAGTTAATCTAACCATTAACCATGTTAGGTTAGCTGGAATTTTCAGTGATACTATATACAGTATATATATAATTCTGTATGGTATTTCAATTGATTTGAACTTTGCAAAAATCTACACTAATTCATACAAAGCAAACTATTTGCGGTTAAGCATATCATGCAGGACAACTTAAAAATTAATATGTTGTCGTAAAGGAAGACAGACTGTAAGGCTCCAATTTTTCATCTTGGACTAACCGGACCATTAACAGACTGTGAAGAGCTACAGAAAGATCTCTGTCAGCTTCAAGAGTGGTCAAAGAAATGGCTTCTAAGATTCAGTGTTACCAAGTGTAAGAGGATGCACTTGAGGCATACCAACAGTAAGGAGGCATATCACATGTCCAAATGGGACAAAGAAACTGCATTAATAGAGACTGAATGTGAAAAGGACCTGAGTGTGGATGTTGACAATGAACTGAAGTTCTCAAGCCATTGTGAGAAGGTGAACCAGGAGACTAAGGTCTTATAAGGTCATTCATAGATCCATACGGTCTGTACCTCGTAATGATCTTCAAGAGTGAGGTGCATCCCTGTTTGGAGTATTGTCACCCCGTCTGGTCCCGAGATATGCTGGACACGTCAGTCGATTGAAAATGTCCAAAGGAGGGCCACCAGACTGGTGCCTGCACTATGCCAACTCAGTTACCCAAAGAAATTAGAATGCCTGCAACTACCTAGCTTATGCTACAGACGGGCAAGGGGTGACCTAATTGAAGTTTAGAAACATCTCGGAGGGCACTACTCAGTCGAGTGTCCATACCTGGAGCTGGTGGATGCTCGCCCCACAAGGGGTCACAGTTCAAGGTTGAAGAAGCCACAAGTCCAGAAAACTGTGAGAACAACTTGCCAGAGAGTTTTGTGATGGCACCGAGTGTGAGCTCTCTCAAGACCATACTTGACCAACACTGGAGCATGTTCATGTACATTCAGGAGCCAATGCATATCCAGTACTTACCAACAGTGCATAACAGAGACGTGACCGACTGCCCAAGTGGTTAACAAGTCGATTAGTGGTGAAGAGGATAAAAGTAAAAGTGTTAACAACCCTTCTCATAATCAAATTTTATAGTTGTGCATTGTAGATACTGCTTGATAATTTTTTGGAGTACACTGTCCCACTTCTGGGCAGGCCATCACCAAACCTCCTTACTGTAAACCTGCAAAACTTCGCTCACTGTTGTGTTCGAGGTTTAAAACCATAACTGTAGAGTCAATTTCAATTGCTTTTACAATAAGTTATTTAAACAAATAATTATTCTACCTTACATGTAGATAAACAAGTAATGGCCATTTATTGCATAAAATAGTGAATGGATTATACAGTACTGTATGTGATGGACAAGCAGTTTATGTCTTCTCAACTTACTTATGCCCATATCGTGGAACTTGCATATATATTATAGATGTTTCCTCACAGACTGTCGATAAATAGCATATCTACTAAACTCCTCGTGAAAGAAGCTTCTTCATTCTTCCACCAAAGGTTAAAGGGAATATAAATTTTAAACTCGTCCACGTGTGTGCATCTGTCGACCAGTCCGTAATGCATGATATTAATTTTTTTGAGTGTGGGGGCATCACAGTTCTTAACAATGAAAGCAAGCCTCTAATGACAGTCTTACCAATCTTAGGTTTGAATCGACATGATATTTGCCACTGTTTATATATCAATACAGTACTATTTGCATGTATACTAAGCCAAAGTTCATATGTATAATAATTTTTAAATGAAAAAACATAAATCAATCAATGAGAGCGAGTTGTAAGGTTATGGAGCACGACAGTGGTGTCGTTCTCCACCTCACCCCACACTCCAGGTTACCCTCATTTATCTTATCGAAATTAATTCTGATCACCAATTTCACAAAAGTAAACATTGTCTGCCAGTGATTAGTTTAAATTTTTGACTGACAACAACCAAAATATTTATTTTGAGCTACAGCAGATGAAATTTGTAAGTATATTATTATATAATCGTAATTACTGATATATATATATATATATATATATATATATATATATATATATATATATATATATATATATATATATATATACAGTACAGTACAATATATAATTTTAGAAATCCTTTTGATCAGAGAAACTATATCATTAACAGGATAATAAGATCTGTAAAGGAAGTTTTCTTGAATTATGGCTGAAACTCTTGATTTCATGAGTTTTTCTAGTCAGGGTTGTCGCTTTTAGTTATTGTACAGATCACAACACAGAAGCACATCCAAGACAATATTTGTGACATTAAATGTTCACAAATAACAGGACTGAATGCAGCCAGTCCTTTGTCACAAAGGTGAAAAATTTGCCAGGGGTTGAATGGAGGGAGGAAGGAAGTGGAGCATTTGTGAAGTGACTGTGAGGATACCTCACTTGGATGAGAGAGAGGGATGAGTGTGTGTAGGTGGGCTATGAGGGTCAACAACACAGGTGCCAAAAGTCAGTAACTTTGTAACAGGACAATTGCACCCAGTCTCAGCATGCATGTAACCAGTGGCACAGAGAAAACAGTATAACCACATAACCCAGAAACTGTATCTTGCCTGCAAGTCCAGTTACCTTTCAGAAAGTTGTAGGTAAATGACCTTATGTGAAGTAATCCTCTTATGATTAAACCCATTGATCCTAACGAGGCAAAATAACCACCAATCAGAAAATTAATTTTCCCTTCAGTGCGGCAGGAACAGTCTTTGAACAACCCTGGTACAAATACCTCACAAGTTTTAATTACCTGGATATTGTTTTCAGTAAAGATGAAAGACTGAAAACTAATGATTAAAATAAGATTTGGTAGTGAAGTGTGGAGAAGGGGGAGGGAAGGGGGCACAGGGGTAGAAGTGTTGGGTGGCAAGGAAAGGTACGAGGTTAACGCCCTTCGATAATTAGGCAGGGATAATGGGCCGATACACATAGAACAGGCAGATTAAGAAGATACGAGTATGGACAAAGCAGGAGGATGGGCAGTGGAGGACAGATTCCATGGGTGGGGCACAGAGAACAGAAGGACAGTCAACATAGTGGGGCAGGTAGTGTAGATGGCACTTAAGATGAAACAGAATACGTTCAGGCGTGGATACATGTGTCCACCACTTCCATCTCACCATCAGCTCTCCCTCTTCAATATTCTACTCATGAATTTTCACCTGCATTTTCTTTCATCTATTTTCCTTAAATATTTATTCACCCATACCTGTATATTGCACACTGCTATTACTCCACATCTTTGTTATTTCTAATTTATTTTAGTATACTTCAGTGTTTTTTGTTTTGTCATTCATCTGTTTCATTCCAATCCATCATTCTGCCTCTTGCCATCTCATTTCCCCCTTAACCTGTGTACTGGACTTGCTACCACTACCCCCTCTTCCTCCCTACCCCCTCACTTCCTATCCCCCACCCTACCCCTCACTTCCCTTCCTCCACCTTACTGCTTCATCACCTATCCTCTACCCTACCCCTCACCTCCACCCTACACCTCACCTCCCCTCTTCCACCCTACCCCCCACCTCCCATCATCCGCCTCTCGTACTTGTTAATAGTAAATTGAAAGAGAAATCCGTCAAGTGTGAGGACCCGTCCACAAGTTAAGCGGGAGAGACGTGGCCCTTTTCTTAAAGTTTGGCAAAGTTTGGAGTTGCTGTGTCGGCCGTTTTCGATAGGTTATTGCTTTTGCCAGACTCTTGTCGACTTAGGCGCGGACTGAGATGATGCCGATGACATATGCAAATCGTATAACTTTTTTATTTATTTATTTTATTTGTATATCATTGTTGGTGCAAGAATAACTACATAAAACTTTTGTATTCACGAAAGAAATTTAGTTATAGAACTATATACCGGTAGGTGAATGCATCACACACACAAAACAAAACGGCAATCTTTACTATATTTCCTTTAGACTGGTGACTAATGATGGCCTGACAAAGGAACTCCGTGATTAGAGTAAGGGAGGTATGGGACTAACCTGTTGAACCAATCATCAGTGTAGCGAGGAAATGGGAAAGGATCGTTGCTGCTGAAATCCCAACTGGCTCGAGCGTTCTGTAGGGGAGAAAAACAGTAATTCTTAGCTCAATAAAAAATATTAACTATTGTTTATAGGATAATATACACTTTTGTACATTGTTGGTAAGAGCATAACTTTCAGGCCTTTTAATAACAATAAATATTGGTGTTTTATTCACTCTAATTGCTAGAACAAAGCTAATTACAGTATTGGAAAGTTTACAATGTGTGTCAGCCCCAAAATATCAACGAACACATTTGGATGTGTATATATGGCGGACATACGGTACTATTGCCATAGGAACTTTATCACGGTATTCGTAACATATCTGATACTGTACTTTCAAATTTAAAGGATGACTCAGTTTTGTTTCATTCTTCTAAGCCTTTTCCTGTAATACTGCTGGGTGGGCAGACTCAAAGACAAACAGACTCTCCCCTCATTCGCTGTCATTCAATCAATCTCACTATACAGTACTGTCACAGATTTATTGTGTTATGGTATTCCCCCTTTCACAATAAAGTTTCAAGATATCTGGCTTATGTGTCACCTCACAAAACCCAGCATCTTTCATCAGCGTGTGGCACGTCCATTCTTCCACCTCCTTCTTGGCTTCACCTCCCTCCAACCACCCACCTCAGAGTTATACACTCTTGTTTACCAATGTTTTAATTCCCATTCTTTCAATATTTTGATACAGTATCACTTTGGTAAATCCTAGTCAGCTTTCTGTTCGACATCACTTCCTTATTTAGGTAATGTATTTCTCATTCTCGGTTTCTCATTCATCCCACACATTGATTTTTAACATGTCATGTTTCACACTTTTAATTTGCTTTTTCCTCTTTCATCCTAGTCCAAACTTCAAATACATATTATCATGTCTGTTTAATCATTTCTCCGTACATACATCCTTTGATACTATTCTCTTTATCCCTTCACTTTTGAATACTGTACATCCCTTAATATCTTTCACTCCACAACCCAGTAACTCAATTCATCACTCTTTGTTCTCTTTGCTAACACATTTTCACGAATAGATATTTGAAACACTTTACTTCCTTCTTTCTATTTCTCCTTGTGTCCCTTAGCACATTTTACTTTTGTCACATTCTCCAATAATTTTTCTTCCTACACACACACACACACACACACACACACACACACACACACACACACACACACACACACACACACACACACACACACACACACACACACACACACACACACACACACACACACACACACACACACACACACACACACACACACACACACACACACACACACACACACACACACACACACACACACACACACACACACACACACACACACACACACACACACACACACACACACACACACACACACACACACACACACACACACACACACACACACACACACACACACACACACACACACACACACACACACACACACACACACACACACACACACACACACACACACACACACACACACACACACACACACACACACACACACACACACACACACATCTAAACTTATTCACTTAATATTTTTTTTTCTTCCCAGCAGAGCATTGTCACCTGCAAACACAAGCTGACTCACCTTACAAGTGTGCCCCATTTCACTATGTACTAAACTGTGCATACTTCTCCATATTCTTGCATTCACCTATCTCACTACCCCATCCATAAAACTAGTGTAATATCCATGGAAAACCTATACTACCATCTTTGATATAATTATATTTTGGGTAAGACATTTTTTCTTATCACAACGTAACAAATAATTTATAAAAACTACACCTTAAAATAAAGACTTGATCCACATGCCCAGTTCCATTCTGAACCCACTGTACTCTTCTCCTAACACACTCTATTTTGTCACAATCTCTCAACAATGACTACCACACACTTTTCCTGGTACAGTATAATTATTCTTCTTTACTGTATCAAAAAGGTTCATTCACATCATCTTTTCCTCTCTACTTTTCATTGCTATGCATATACAGTACTGTATGCTCTTGTCATCCATTCTACCACTTCTCAGCCTTTTGCCCTCAAGGTTCAATGTGGTATTCAAGATGAAAGGAGTACTCACATAGTTATTGCGGAGGTCTGGGTGCATGTAGTCGATGCCTGCAAACAGAGAGAGAACATGAGGATGTGCAATGTGTGAGGAGAGACAGAGTTATCAGTATTATGCTGTGACTGCCACCACTCCAGCCTTTGCCCTCAAAACTCCCAATGACACAAATACTGTTATAGGGATTTAACTTATGATAATTAAACAGCTTCGAGGCCCTGTCGCTTCACACTTCTCTTGAAAAATAAAAGATGTGGAAACAAAATGTACTGAGTTCAAAAAGAGTTCCCTATAATGGTTTCTATTTATTCATATAATGTTACTGCAGTATATATTATGTGACAGACAAGGGATGTAGGTGTGTGTGTGTGTGTTCAGCCACACCTCCACCATCCATCCAGGTTAATGGTACTACCCTCTCTAATGTTAACCACTTTCAGCATCCTGGCTCCCACCTGTCCACTACTGCGGACATTGTTGAAGAGATTCAACATCGGATCAGATGTGCATCTCAAGCCTTTGGCAGACTCCATAAACATGTGTTCAGCTGTAGGGAGCTGAAATTATCTGCAAAGTTCCACGTACAGGTATATCGAGCAGTGATCCGTCCCACCTTGCTGTAAGGCAGTGAGACATAGGTCACATATAGGAGGCACCTCAAGGCACTCGAAAACTTTCATTAACGTAGTTTACGTTCCATCTTCTAAGTTCGCTGGGAAGACAAGAGAACAAATGCCAGTATTCTTGCTGACACTAACTGTAAGAGCATCGAGGCTACCATTATCCATGAACAACTATTGTATGTGTACAAGTATGGAGAAAGCAGGAGGAAGGGCAGTGGAGGACAGATTCCATGGGTGGGGCAGAGAGAACAGGGGGACAGTCAACTTAGTGGGGCTGGTAGTGTAGGTGGCACTTACGATGAAACAGAATAAGTTCAGGCCGTGTTTCCTGCATGGACAACAGAAGCCTGCCAAAGCAGCTACTTTCCATCACCTAACAAATGGTAAACGTAACGCTGATGGGCAACGGAAAAGGTATACATATAGTCTTAAGACAGACCTGAAAAGGTGTCAAATCGACCCCCTCACCTGGGAGACGATCACTCCACGCCATAACGCTTGGAGGAGCACCACATGAAAAGGTGTCAATACTTTCAAGTTAACCTGACTGTATACTGAGGCATACAAATGCGAGCACTGGAAAGATGCTGTCGCCGCCCCTCCCACACTAGATGTAGCCCTCTACACGTGCAACATCTGTGGATGGCTCTGCCGATCCCATATCGGACTCTCGAGTCACTCCAGAGCTCACTAACGAAGGTGACATCTTTAATAAATCATATCATTGTATCATAGTTGGATGATAGTCATACTCTATTCCGAGTGACAGCAAAATAGTTGAGGCAACAGTCACTGAATGCCTCATAGATCTGCAGCTCAACTAACTCAACACAGCCAGAGTAGCTACTTATGTATTAGGATAGTTAATTTTAAGGTAATAAAATGGCAGCGATGGTGTGGCTATTGAGGGAGGCTGGAGGCCATTTTTAATTGTAGTAGTAGAAGAGAGAGTGTGTGTGTAGGAGCTGGGCTGGAAGCTAAGTGGACTGGAAGGTTGGTACATCTCACAGTCATGACAGTGGCATAATATGATGCAAAAGAGAAACTTTGGTGCTCAAGAATTGACCACTGACTGTATTAACCAGCACGTGAAAGAAACATGCCTCACGCTCGAGAAAATATGAATCAGGTGAGGAATGGCGGCATCCGTGCTGACAAAAAAAAATCAATACCTGTAATAATTTGGCCAATTTAAACCGTCCCGAGACATTACGGCCAAACAGAAGCGGAGTTAAGTCAGTTATCTTGGTCACAGTGATGGTAAACCTCATTCATCGTCTCTTTGTAAGGTTATTATGGCCATGAAGAAGATAAAACACACTTCATGGAATATAAGAATCAAAGCTAACAAGAACAGCGGTGGTAGTGTTCCCTGTGAATGGTAGTGATCCCTGTTCACACGCAGAGGTCCAGGGTTTGATTTCCGACTTGTAAGGTATTGTTTATATATATATATATATATATATATATATATATATATATATATATATATATATATATATATATATAACATAGTCTAGATTGCTTTTAGTGTCCTTGTGGTTTGGGCGGTAACATTCCCTGGTCACACACAGTAGGTCAAGGGTTCGAGTCCTGGCTGGTGAGGTTGTTGATTTTATGTTCAAGTCCGTGTTATATGGACTATATATATATATATATATATATATATATATATATATATATATATATATATATATATATATATATATATATATAATATATATATATATATATAAAACTACACCAAGAAAGTCAATTTGACATATTGTTATAAAAGTAGTAGAGAGGCACACTGTACACTATCAACATCGCCACAAGATGGTGTGTAGTTACCATCGTCCATGATGGCGGTGGTGACGTTGCGGCCGGTGAAGCCCTGAGCCCAGGCAGCCTCCACATTGAGGTCCAGGCGAGGTTTCCCGCCATTCTGACCAGTGTTTTTCTGCGGGGACAAAATATCAGAGATTAGTGTTAGTGTTAACGTTGGTAATTATATAAGTAATAAGTATTGTTTGTTCTCGCCACTGGTCCTTACGTTCGTCTTATTGTTAGCTGCTAGCTATCGGCCTTGTGTCTGTGTGATAGTTGTTCAGAGCTGTGAGGCGTGAGTGAGTGTCAAGCAAGAGTCGACAGCTTAACAGCATAAGTCAGTCAGTGATATACTGTATGTGTAAGTAATCCCCCACTAGTAAAACATTTCTTATTATTATTTTTTTTAAATATTTTCTTTGACAGCTTCCATACACACCCTCAGCTGTGACCACATTACTCAACACCCGACACGGCCTAACTAGATAACACGACACCAACACCAAATAGCTTTAGCAGCAGGAAAACAAATTTAGCGTAATTTGATAGAGCCTCAGGTGGCGTCACATATACAGAATCTGTTAAGGTTGTCAAAACCATATTTATCTCTCGAGCTTCGTGGTGTTTTTCTTTTGAGTAGTGGAAGTGAGCGTGGCTCCCTTATGGCCAGTGTGGGTACAGTACACCCTTTTCGTTATATAAGAAAGATTCCCTTCACTTCATCTGTAAAGTTAAGATAGCTGTTTACAGATGTGCTGACTGTAGGTCCCGCGAATGCAAACCAGGGACTCTTAGAACAAGGGACGAGTCGTTGTATCCACTGGGTCACCACACCCCAGCTCTTAGAATAAATCAGAAGCAAATTGAGAGAAGCTGTGAATTAATAAGAGGTGGAGGGAAGAGAAAAAATGGAGGATATGCTGCCGTGTCATCACGCAAGAACATTGTGGCGAAGCCTTCTTGATTAGGTTCTTATCTTCCCTCCACCGCCATGACCCCTCCTGCACCTGTTCATGGATCTCAAACCTTCTACACGAGCTTCTCCCGCAGCTTCCCTCCCTCTTCTCAGTCCTTCCTGACCACACACTTCTCCCCTCGCTACTACTCCCTTCCTCAACACACGTTAACTCCCACACCCCGCACTTAATCCCTCTCAGTTCACCTTCCTCTTCCTCCCACACAACACACTCACTCCCTCTCGCACCACCGTCCTCCCACTCTCATACAACACACTCACTCATTCACTCTGTCCCACACCACATACCTTTTCCTTCCCAGAACACACACCCTTCCCCACCTATATCACACACCACACGACTCACCTTCTCCCATCCACACTCACTCCCTCCAACAACACACACTCACTCCCTCCAACACACACTCACTCCCTCCAACAACACACACTCACTCCCTCCAACAACACACACCCACTCCCTCCAACAACACACACTCACTCCCTCCAACAACATACACTCACTCCCTCCAACAACACACACCCACTCCCTCCAACAACACACACCCACTCCCTCCAACAACACACACCCACTCCCTCAGGTTCGCTTCGTTGGTTTCAGACTCAATTTTGAAACCAATGCCCCAATTTTCCACTATAACTAAATAACATTATAGCCCCCCCCCCCAATACTCTTAAATCCTTTGGCAATTTTCTACCATTCTCAATTTAATCTGTGGTAGCCCTGTCCACCAATTTAAATATTTAACTTAATACCAATATTTCCACCAAACTCGAATCCTGTTATAGCCTTTCAGTCGAAGCTTGTGATAAAATTGTCTAAACAAAGTATAGAGTTAAGGGGTGTAGGTCTGTAGTGGTGTGGAGTATTGTACAGATAGAAGAAACGAAGAAGTATATAGCTAAGGTTCCTAAGCCAAAAGGCAGACAAGTGGAAAAAGAGCAACACGTATGTACATTACTATGAGTTCGGCTGATGTGGCGGGGGAGAGGGGTGGTGGTAGACACTAAGCGGAGAGGAATAAGAGTGGAGAAGGTGAATGAGACAGGAAGAGGGACAGCTAACGGCGGTGTGAAAGAGGTGGGCATTGGAGTGGAGAGAGTGCATGTGGTGTAGGTGAAGAGTGGAGGAGAAAGGTGATGCCAGCTGTGACGTGAAAGAGGTGGACGCTGTAGTGGAGAGAGTGCGTGTGGTGGAGGTGAAGGAGGCAGTGAGAGGGGTGCAGCTGGAGGCGCCTGATAAGACCAGGGCGTCGTTCTCAGAATAACTCACCAACCCTGGGTAAAATTTCCCGCAGACTCTGCGCGCTTGTAAGGCCGTCAGCCGAGATATACCGCTAATATGAGCCAGCAGGGAATTGGTCTCACGTTATGAGACAGTCACCAGTCGGGTAGTAGCCCAGTGTATGTACAGTATACCAGTCATGTGATACACAGTGTGGAGTGTGAGGCCCGGAGCTCGATATACTATAAGACTCACTGGTCGACGATCTATACAGTTTTGAGGGCACAAAAATTAAAGGTGAGTTTGACAAAATTCCGTTGGAGTCCTACAATGGAGGAACACTCCCCCTAGACACACAAAACACAAAGACATTATCACAGGGAAAACTTCATCCCCTGAGAAGAATTCATATCAAACTTTACAGAATAACGTCTACTTGTTGGTGATATGCTAATAACTGAGATACGTGAGTAGACAAGATCAACAGACAGACATCGAGATTACCAATGATCCATAATGAGAATACCTGCTAAATATATCCGTTAGTTCAATAAATATATGTCTGGCTAGTTTGAAATGAATGTCTGGCTAGTTGAAGATGTATGTATGCCTGACTAGTTGAAAAGATGCTGGTCGGAAGAAACTATGAACACCCAAACGACGAAAAATCGACTGATCTCGTGGTTGGACAAAGCGGGGCACCTCATTAACCGCAGAAATACGCAGTTCATGCCGTATGGGAATGATAAACGTCACCACCACTCCAAAGAATCCCCCCCCCCCTCAAAAGCAACAACAACAACAGTGACAAAATCTAGCGCCGACACTCACAATATGGACAAATCGCAACGTGTCAATAGATACAACTGGATATGTTTTGTTTTATCGGTGACGTTTCAACATTCAGCGATATATGAATATGTATATATGCACATTCATATACTGTATATTAATAAAAAAAATGGTGTATAAAGACTCACAGACAGCCGGAACATCACAGTTCAGAGTCCTATAATGAAATACGATGAATTTGTCAGGATAATGAGCAGTACCACGAACCAATTACTTCCAGTCAACAAAGGGGGTAATATTGACGCTACGAGTGAATGATCGTCCCTTACTACCCTTCTCCCTCCCTTCTTCACTCCCGACCCTTCCCTTCCCTCCCTCCCTCATTTTCCCCCTCTTTCACTCCGTTCCTCCCCGCCCCGCCCCTCCCCCTCTCTCTCCCTCCCTATTCCTCCTCCTTTACTCCCCCCTCCCTTACTCCCAGCCCCGCCCCGCTCCTCCCCCTCCCCTCCCGTTCCCCCCTTCCCTCCCTCCCCTGATCAAATAACCAGCACCTGACCAGTTCTTGTGATGGACAGGGTGAAAGACAGGAGGTGGGGGTAGGGAGGGGCGGGGTGGCGGGCAGACAGGAAACAGACAAACAGTAGGACAGAGGCAGATTGAGTGAAACTGGGACAGATAGAAACAGCTTTATGGTGAACGGCGACACGGATCAGAGACGGTGATATGAAGACAACACTGATAGATAAATAGGCGAACATGTAGTTTTAGACAGGCAAGGGTAAACAGAAGACAGAAAAGGACGCAAAGAGACGGGGATTGAGTCGTTAACAAGGAAATAGACAAACAAACAGACTCAACACTGATGGACAGACAGAAGACACACAAGGAGAGAAAGATAATGAGATAATCTCATGGCCGAAGGACTGACGGAGAGACGGAAATTGGAGGCAAATAGTGCGTACGGTCGAGGTACTTTCTTCATATTGTCTACATGGTCGAGGTACAATAACAATAACAATAATAATAATAATTAAAATAACAATAATAATAATAATAATAATAATAATAATAATAATAATAATAATATTACCAACAACAATACTGATAAAAAATACTAGAATTTTCCTCAAGGCTATGTGGGAAAAAAACACGGTAAAAATAAGTATTGTTGTGTAAGACAAAGTGATATGCAAAACAGGTCTTTCGGGATAAATGATATCGTTTGATGGGGAGGGAGGCTCTAGGTGTGTTAACCCCGTGAGTACGATGACTTAACCCTCTGAGTACTATGTCTGGAACTTAAGGGAATAGATTACCTTACTAAAAGTGTTAAGATATCGTACTCAAGGGGTTGAAACGTTGTACTCAAGGGATTGAGAGGAAGTTAGGAATGGAGAGGAGGAAGGAAGGGGCGAAGAGGAGGAAGGAAGCGGCGAAGAGAAGGAAGGAGGGAGGGAGAGGAAGGAGGAAGGCATGGAGAAAAGGCAGGAAAGAAGGGATGCTGGAAGAGGAGGAATGGAAGGAAGGAGGGAAATAAGGAAGGAAGGAGAAAGGGGAAGAGGAAGGGAAGGGAAGGAAGTAGGGAGCGAGAGGGGGAAGGGAAGGAAGGAGTGAGGAAGAGGAGGGAGGAAAAAGAGGAAGGAAGAAGGGAGAGGAGGAAGGGAAGGAGAGAGAGAGGAGGGAGGAAAGGGAAGAATGGAAGGAAGGGAGAACGGGAAGAAGGGAAGGGGAGAGGAGGAAAGGAATGAGGGAGGAGGAGGAGGTAAGGAAAGAAGATAAAGAAGGGAGAGGAAGAGGCCTGGAGATAAGGACTCCTGCTGGTGAAACAATATATACGTCAGCAACAGAAGCGTCAATACCCGCCCTGCTGGTATAACTGTCAGCCACACACCACCTCAGTGACTTGCTTCTCTCTTCCCCTGTACTAACCTTTCCTCCTCTTCCTCCTCCTCCTCTTCCTCCCCCCGCCTCCTACACCCCCTCTTCAGTAAAATTGCCATACAAGTTTACAATTGGTACGTATATAAACTCTGCAGCATGAATATAGACAATGTATATATACAGTGCTCTATAACTATTTCTACGCTAACCTGGCCCGTAAGCCTGGTTAGGTCAGGTCAAGTCAGGTCAGGTCAGGTCAGGT